ATATATATATATATATATACACACAGTACTTTACCAATATACAGTACAGTACCATATTGTAAAAATAAAGTACCAGAGTGAATTCATTGTTCTACAGGGTATAATTGAAGGTGTCACCACTGTATTATGAATTCTGTGCACTAAAGGATTATGACAAGATAATATAACAAAGTACTAACTACAGTACATACAAGCAGGGAACAAGTGTAAAAGGTTTGAAGCATTATTAACCTATAATATAACAAACTTCCACTGGTCCAAGACAAATAATCACACCTAAAATGTTGACAATAACTATAAGAAGTTAAAGAAAGAATTTACATCAGAATCCAAATTTAAGTTTAAAAAATTATAATTTAACATTTTTGTAATTTCTATCAAACTCTTGATACTGCAAGTTCTGAACAAGTACACATTTTTCTTAAATAAATATATTTAAGTAAGGATAATTTAGTATCATTATTCATGAAAGTTTACTTGGCTAATGACAATTGTGAATTTAAAAGGAGAGATTATGGTAGACTAAGAAATTCAGATGAATGAGAATGACATTATGATCAAATAAAGTAAAAACTTATTCTGCTTAGCATGGCAAAAATAGGTAACTAACTTTAAACCTGTGATTTAAATAATGCAAACCTTTGAACAAAAGATGTAAATACATAAGACTTGTATGAAAATAGTTATTAATTTGAGGTTCCAATTATTTATGATTGGCAGAAGTCAAATGGATATTCAACACAAATAATTCAGTAAAACGGACTCGAGACATAAATACATCCCAGCAAAAGGGTTCATCTTCATTTCTGGATTCAAGAATTTGACTAAAACAATGAAAGAACTACAATTGTACTATGACCTTATTTTCAAATAATGCCTGTAGCAATATGACAGCTATAAATACTGTATTCATATTATGAGTACAGATACATATAATTTTCTTTTACACGTACAGAAATCTAGAATACATCTCGATACACATATACATACATAACACCTAAGAATATTTAAGATGCTGTTATTAATCAAACATTTCAACTTATGACAATCCAAGAACAAACTTGCAAAATTTAATCCAACTTAGATTGCTGAAGCCAGAATAATACATTGTTTCTCTTAAATTGATGCTATAAACTTCAATGTAAATGAAGCTTTTAAAGTGAACACATGAGAGTAGATGTGGATTACTATGCCAATAGGAAAGAAACAGCAACAGTGATTTTGATATAGATATTGCACTTAACCATAATTATTATGTATTTACACAAGTAACAAAAATCACTAAAACAAATAAGTGGATGAGATTTCCACAAGTTCAACAATAATAGACATTTAAAAAAATTTCTGCTCTGCATATATATATCAATAATAATGATCATGTTAACAAAATCCCTGCAACTACACCTCAGGCCATTATATCTATATAGAAAAGTCATTCAATACTTTCTCACAAAAGCATGTTATACCATAGGCCTCTTTGTTACCCCATCAGGGAGTTTTTTTCATAAACATCAATAAATTCTATTCATACTGTTGTATAAAATCACAGAGAACATAATGATACATGTGTGTTAGCCTGTGAGGGCATCGTCACACCATGCTGGCACTTTTACGTGTCAAGATAGGTAAACCCAGTGGCTTAATACACATGATCCCATACATGGGAAAAGGTAATCTACTGACTGACTGTATCACATGAAAACCATGTTGTACTAATCATATGCACTTTTTCTTCCTAATTTGGCATTAAATTGTCCTAGTATAAAATAAAAAGTGCATTAGGGATTAAAGTACACAATGGCAACTCTCACACCTGAATCATTTACATAGTACAGACACTTTCTTTAAAGCTTGTAACGATAAACAAGACCATTATATACATAAAAGGGCACCAATACTCTACATTATATGCTAGGGTCCAAATCAAACCTTGCAGACTATCTGAAAAAATAACTGGCTTCAATCTTTTAATCAATACCCAGAAGTGACTTCCATTGCTTTACTGCCTGCTTTTTACTTATAACTTTTAAATGATGTATAAATTTGCCACACAGATTCATCAATGTGTGCACATAGCATAAAATGCTGATACACAACTTCTCAATAAACACTTGCTGGGTCTGTGAATTACTATATAATATCTGGATAAGCTGAAGCACCTATCTGTTTCTTTGTAGTCACGAGAAAGTCAAAATGGTCTTGTCTAAGATCTATGTCCATGGTTACTGTGGACAGTATTAAAATATGAAGTGTAGTCTACCTTCAGTATCTTCACATAAAACTTTATTTGTATTACAAGACTATATATTAAAAAACTGTAATAATCCTACTGAGTGTTATATAATAAAGGGCATTTAAGACTGAACAACAACCAGTTCTTGAAGTATACAAAACTAGTTATAAATTAACACCACACTCAGCAAATTCTTCTCTTGTGATAAAAGCATACCACACTTTCCATCGTAAGTCATACATTTAGTCCATAAACTTGTGTATAAAAGCAAATACCCATTCTAAATCAAGTTTAGAGGTCACATCTCGTGGAAATACCTTAGGCATGGGGTTATAAATTAGTCACAATTTATTATATTACATAATAAAACAATGATATTTAGTAAGATAAATGAGTGATTGTGCCTCACTGCTTAATTATCATTAATGCTTGGATGTAATAATAATACAGTAATAGACAATTATTAACTACCCATGTCGTTACCTGAAATACGTCACATTACAGTACTGCAACACTCGATGCAGTAACAATTTTACTTGCCATTTCACCAAGAATTTATAATAAACCAGATTCTCGTGGTTCCAATATCAGAATAAGATTCGGGTTTAAATGTTTGCTTATCAGCTAACATTATTTTTGCATTGCAACAAATTTGTTTACATATTATACATCATTATTCAATGTCCTACTCCAGGTTCAAATTCATGTTAGTGCAAGTAACAAAGCGATTTCCATTTTCTGACTATGGACATCATTATGACTAAAACAAATATCAACTACTTTGTTTGCTTGTGCTTTGTTAGCTTTATTGTGAGATGAGCCAAAACGCAGTGGGGGCAGGCCATCTCTGGCTGGTCACTATGATACTGGTCAAGAAGAACCTTAGCTGTGTTGCCCAGCAAGCCTGGGACAGTCATCACTGATGTTTCCATTTGGGGAAGTACTCGTGTCTGTTTAAAATAAAAGGGTGCATTTTATTTATTTTAAAGTATACATGCCATTTCGGTTTCATTAACCGTTAAACTGTGTAACATGTCATATGACGTGTTGAGTAACTTACCCAAAATTGCGCATCACGTCATATGACGTGTTGGAGTACTACACAAGATTTAAACGGCCCGCAGATACACGGGATTCACCTCACCTTCATCAGGGCTCTTGTAAACAGACTCCATTTAAAAAAAAAAATCGTGGGCAACATTCCCGGGTGTTAGGGCCTCAGTACTGAGTGAGCCACCAAGGCTGGCGCAGTCAGCATGAGCTAACAGCACTGCTGTTCAGCTTGTGACCACAGCATCGCCTAAAAATTTTAAAAAATATATATGTACATGCTATTATTTAGCAATAATAGTATTACAGAAAACCCCCTGACTGTGATAAAAATGTCCAGGATTCTGATAATAGCAGGATTGTTGTGATAATTAGCCCCCGAAGTGGGAGGAGTAATCTTGAGGGGAGGGAGGTAGCGTTATCTGCTGACTGTGTGACCACCTTTTACTGTCTGGACTTGGTACCAGCTTAGTGGTTCGCTATGGTGAACAAAACATCCAGATACTTATATATAATGTCTGTATATATTGAATAAAAGCAAAAAACAGTATGGTGGGAAAAGAATGTTGGGGAGTTAGGCGAGGTAAGGGAGGAAGGGAGGGAGTGGCAGCCAGTGGCGGGCTAGCTGGTGTGTGGTGGTCACTCTTTGCTGCTGTTTGACTCAGCATACCAACTTAGTGGTTCCTTATGGTGAACACAAATGTAGATACACTATATACACACACGTTATATATAAGTAATAACAGCAAAAGGAGTGTTGGGAGAAACCATTTTGGTGAGGGAGGTGGCAACATCTGCATGACTTGTCATGCTGGGTAAGAGTGGCCACTATGCTCTTTGGGCACTATACCGGCTTAGTTGAACAGTTATGGTGAACAAAACATGTAGATACTTATATATAATGTGTGTATATAGTGTAATAACCGACAAAGTATTTGTTCACTGTTTTATGAACATAACTGAATCAATAATATGCACACCATAATTTTGAGTACAGCGACGATTCACACATTTTATTATATAAATATGTCACACTGCACACTACTGAATAATACTACAGCGAAAAAAACTAAGAAAAAATCAATCAGAGACATTGAAATAATTAGGTAATTATATCTTTGTGGCAACCCCCCCGCCTGACAGCTTCAGCGAAGCAGAACTTCCCCGATGCTTGCTGCATCAGCGCCTCTTTTTTGCCAGACTTCCCCGCCCTATTGCGGCCAAAATATGCCACTTCCGATTTTTTCATTATTTTTCCCGTGATCAGGGAACACAAATTTACAGGTTTATAAGAATTTTTTTTTTTAATTTTTTTTATGGGCCTTTGGGTGACAAAGGCCAAATAGCCCTTAGCAGCACAATGGTTAAGAGTAAATGGCTTATTTAGACTCAAGCAAAGCATGGTATCTTTGAAAATTATAGTATAGTACCTACATTTGATTTGATAACAACTGTATCCCTTAAGGACAAATACATCAACCAGAGCAAATATGTTGCCTTCTCTTTTCAAAACAGTACTGACCTATAAATGTCAATAACAACAAATTGGCCCGGTGCTGTACAGCATTTGCCAATATCAGCATTTTTGTCCCATTTATGTCTTTGGTACTGTACATGTAGTATTTATTGCTTACACAGTACAGTAATACAATGATGAACTTTACTCAGTCACTCCTTCAAGAAATATCCTGATACCTCAGGGACATAGTGACTAGTTACTTTTCACTGCCAATTTGGGAACACTGATATTAAACTGCCACAACCCCAATGGTAAAGGGTAGAAGCAAATAAAGCTCCATTAAGCTCATCAAAAGTGGAACCCCCACAAGAACACATTAAAGATTGGGATTCTTTTTTCCAGTGCAGACTGCTCCAATGACATGCTCCATGGGTAATAAATTGTCTGTCACTCCCCTGGCATAAGCTATCTATTATTGAGAAATTCTTGTACAAAACATTACCTTAGTTAAGATCACCCAACCCACAAATCTGAAAATAAAGAATTGACAATGTTTTGGCAAATCCTAGACCATTACTAAACCATGTAATTACATGATTTGATTTGGTCCAGGATGGACCAAAATGTCATCCATTCTTCATTTTCTGATTTGTGGGTTGGGTGCTTAATCTTCAGACACAATTTATTGTGACTCTTCATTTACACAGTTAAGGTAGGCTGGAACATGAATGCGTCTTCACCTTAATGACAAAACTTAAAACCTAAATGAATTGAAGTCCACATCATATAAACAGTCACATTACAAACAAAGCAAAGTGAATTAATAAAATACCTATAATAGAAATAATGAATGAAGGAATTTCAGACATGAAAGGTAGATAGCCTTCCTTGCCTAATCATTTGTTATAACAATTATGTGCGCTAAATAAGGTTTTAAGGCTAAAATAAAATAAAAACTAAATGTATCTACAGTACAAATTAAGAAAATATGCAACTTGACTGAAAAGTATTCCCATACATACCTTGAAATCTTTCTGGGTGAAATGATGTCCACAGGTAAATAAGACACAATCTTTTTCATGCTCCTTGGGAATCTTGCCTCCACATTTCTGTTTTTGGCTACCACTAGATGCAAAGCCTCTTGTCTCAGACTTTTTACCATGCGTGCCCTCATCTTTTTGAAGCTTAGTTATATCATCCTGTGTCAAGTTAATGCTGTCCGAACCCTGTTTTGTAAGTGCATCCAAGGCCACATCCAGTTGACTGGTTTCTTCACTGAATGTGGTGGTCGTCTTGCTGCCTTGGTTGGGTTCAAGACCAGGCTGAACACCACTGATGAGAGCCAAGGCATCCACATATTCCCCTCCAGCACCACCTGAAAACATAAATATAAATAAATTATGAACCAAAGATACAACATAACTTTTCCTGTTATGCATGTCGACTTAGTTCTGGGATGATTTTTGTGACTGCATTGTACTTTTTATAAAGCTAAAAATGAGGTCTCCATACTTGAATACGGTAGTCCAAATGGAAGCACACCAGAGATTTTTACAGTTGAATTATCACAATCTTTTCGTTGAAGTCATTGAAGGTTCATTTGACTATTCCTAGGGTTTGGTTGGCTTTTTTCTTTTAATGCAGCTCCCATATGAGCAACATTCAACGACTGCTGGATTCTGACTCCTAATTCCTTTTCTTCTTCAATCTTCTTCAATCTTCTTCAAAGTAACATTGTTGATTTGATAGTTGTGATGTCCATTGTTTAGCCTTACATGTAAGGTCTTGCATTTTTCCATGTTAAAAAGTATCTGACAGTTTTCCAACCATTTGTTGAGTTTATATAGATCTTTTCCTGCTTTACTATAGATACTTGTGTCATCTGCAAATTTTATAAACTTGTGTCATCTGCAAATACTGGTTTTGTAACAGGGTTGAACTCATTTCTTATGTTAATATGAAATCTTAGCTATAAAATTATCTTAGAAAATGGGAAACAGTATTGTAATACTGTACCTTATTGAGAAAAACGAGCTTATAATGGTTAACGCCATTGCACATTAGGCTTGACAGAAGGCAGCATTTGAATCCCCCTTTGGTATAAATATTGAAAATGGGAATAAATACACTATAACAGAAAACGGACTTATTTAGGGAAGATGAAGACGGGGTGACGTCATTGACCATTAGCAATGTCTGTGCATGGGTCACCGGGGTAACAAAATTTGAGTGCGCCAGGAGCCGGCCTTTTAATCCCCTTGAGCGAAATGGCAGGGACTAGGAAGCTACCTTTTAATTCACATTTTTGGAACATAATATATGATTCAAGGGAGATATTGATAAATGATATGAAAAGACCCCCTGGGCTATTGTTCCTGCATTGAAAAAAAATAAAAAAACACCCTATGCTATGCCCGTCCATTCGGGAAAAAATTCGAGAATACCCCCCCCCCCCATGCTAATGACCGTCCATGCAAAAATATGGATACCCCCCCCCCCTACACCTATGCCCTTCCATCAAAAAAATAAAAAAGTCAAACCATCGACCAATTAGCCTAATGTCTATTGTGGGAAAGTTACTTGAATCGATAATTGTAAATACCATTTGTCTTCATCTTTAAAAACAAATTAATAGATCATTTACAACATTGTTTTACAAATGGCTGTTAATGTTTAACAAATTTGCTATTATTTTATTCCAGCATAGTTGAGCCAGTTGATAGTGGTAAAGTTTATGATGTTGTGTACCTTGACTTCAGCAAAGCTTTTGATACAGTGCCACATGAAAGACTAATTAAAAAGAGAGAGGCTCATGGTATTGGGGGTGCTATATTAAGTTGGGTTAAGGCATGGCACTTTATGCCCTATATAAATATAAATTTGGCCCTATAAACCCTATAAATCTGGCACTTTATGCCCTATATAAATATAAATTTGGCCCTATAAACCCTATAAATCTGGCACTTTAACATAATTTTCTCTTACAAATCTATTCCATTCAATGCTAAATCTGATTTCTTTGTGATCACTGTTCCCTAGCTCACTCCCTATTTTGATGTCATTAATTTGTGCTTTCATGTACAAATTTACACTAAGTCTATACTATTATTTTCTCGTGTTGGTTCCATAATGAAGCAATCGTTGGTTCCATAATGAAGCAATTTTACCTAACATATATGGCTACTCCCCCTCCTCGTCTAACATATCTGTGTGAAATAGTTTAAATCTATTTATTTGATATTCAGCTAATAGTACTCTATTTTCTACATTCATCCACGTTTCGGTAAGTGCAATAATATCTATTTTTTCTGTACAGACAAGAATAGTTAACTCGTTTATTTTGTTTCTTAGACTTCCACTGTTAGTGTAATATGGGTTTGTTCCCATTTTCCGTCATAATATCTTTCATGTTGTCAAACAATATCTCCAATTCCAGCTCCCGGATAGCAAACCCTTAACCTGTTTCTCCTATCTCTGGCACAAAACGTCCTGTCTAAATACCTCACCTGGGAATCTCCCACAACCAAAATTCGCTTAGGTACCTCCTTAACTTTCTGAGCACTTTGAGGGGCCTGTGTTTCATTGCTCTTCGTTGACTTCCCTTTCGACTGAACTGCAGGCTCACCACAGCACTCATCTTCCAACACGGCAAATGAATTTGAAGTACTTAGGTCGTCTGTAGGCGGCTTTGTCAAGGTCTTCTTAAGACCCTTGTCCTTAACGACTTTCCACGACGAGGTTTTGTTTAATATTGGTCTCCTCCTTCGTTTCTTCTCGATGTTTCAGCTGTCGTACTTCCTCCCTTAGGGAATCCATCTCTGCTCTCAGAGTTCCAAGTATAAATTAGATAAGTTTAGATTTAGGAAAGACCTGGGTAAATACTGGTTCAGTAACAGGGTTGTTTATTTGTGGAACCAATTACCACGTAACGTGGTGGAGGTGAGGTTCTTTGATTGTTTCAAGCATGGGTTGGACATGTATATGAGTGGGAATGGGTGGTTATAAATAGGAGCTGCCTCGTATGGGCCAATAGGCCTTCTGCAGTTACTTTTATTCTTATGTTTTTATGTAAAGTATAAGATTACTAACCAGCCTGGAGATGACTGATAACAGAGCTGCATAAATTGAGGCAAAACTTAGTTGAGAGTTGACTGAGCACCTTCATGGCTGGGTCATTGCTTGGGTCCTCAGGAGCTTCACTGTCACCTGGTGCACCATCACTGAGGAAAAAAACCAGCGTTGAATGTAATGAAATGCCCTTTTCTGGAGTAGGTCTTCGGCTCCCTGGAGCTTATCCACGTTGATACGGATATATTAGACTTTGGCATCAGTCACTGTGAATGAAGTTCTTCGGCCTACCGGGGACCACGAGCCAGAACCTGCCCCCCCTCCCTCAGAGAGGTATGAGGAACAATGGCCTATAGAATTGCACATGTGATTTGGAGCATTTTTTGTCTGCCTTCGACCGGGTTAGGCACCCTGAAAGGTAAGCATCCCAAAACAAACCCCTATTCTGGTTGAAACTACTACTGAAAGTCAAACGAGTGGACAGAACTCCCCAAAGACAAATGAACATGACGTCACTACATGCCATGCAGCTGTCTGCGCAGCTCCCCCCTCCCCGCAACTGGGAAGGGGAAGCCCTAGACCCCCTCACACCGGCTACCCCACGCCCCAGTTCTGAGGCTGGATGTCAAAAACATGCGAAAAACTGCCGACCGGAGGGAGGGAGGGAGGGATGCCGGGAAGCCTCTGGGTCTCACCCAGAAAATGCCATTTCATTACATTCAATGCTGATTTCTGGGGAAAGCCCCTTTGGCTCCCCGGAGTTACTTATCAAAAGATGAAAAACTAGAGGGATTTACTCGGGAGGTGATCGGCACTCGCCCCTCAACGCGAAGTCGAGACAACTGGCTACAACTGCCAACCCAAAGCGACACAGGCGCAACTAGACCCAGGAACACAGACCACGTAGCAAGCAGCCAGGACCCTAACCTCATGCATGTCCCCCGGCACAGAAGCTGTGGCACACAAATAACGGCGGAGAGCCGCAACTGGACACAACACATGATGCACCCCCGGCCTGACCAACCAAGTATCAACAACCCAAGGACCCCTCCGGAAAGTTGCCATCTCATTCTTCGCCAGAATAGAAGGAGACAGCTGCAAACGAACAAACCTATCACCAGAGCTAAAAGAGCATAAACCCCTGCGCCGATGGAGAGCATGAAGCTCCCTGACCCGACCCCCAGAGACCAATGCCAACAGGAAAAAAAAAAGAACCTTGGAGAGACGATCCTGAACTGAAGGGGCCACTACAAACCTAGGGGAAGAGAGATAAGAGCACCCTGTCTAACGCCCAGGACAGCTCAGGCGGCGCATGAGCAGGCCGGAGGTGAAACAACGCCCAAGACAGCTTGCAAAACTACGCAAAGGTAACATTGATGCCAAAAGCAAGCTGCAGCATGCTCTTGAGGTTATCTTGAGGTTATCTTGAGATGATTTCGGGGCTTTAGTGTCCCCGCGGCCCGGTCCTCTACCAGGCCTCCACCCCCAGGAAGCAGCCCGTGACAGCTGACTAACACCCAGGTACCTATTTTACTGCTAGGTAACAGGGGCATAGGATGAAAGAAACTCTGCCCATTGTTTCTCGCCGGCGCCCGGGATCGAACCCGGGACCACAGGATCACAAGTCCAGCGTGCTGTCTGCTCGGCCGACTGGCTCCCAGGGGAAAGGTTACCAGAATGAACCATGGCAGGGGAAGAACAAGGAGGTGCAGACTGAACCAAGGCCGAAGTGACCAACACCCCAAGTTCGAGTCCCGATAGGCAAAATGGGGCAGCCTCGGAGCTTCCGGGGTAGCAATCAACCTAGCGCGTTGCAATAACTTGTATCTAGCATGCAACGCCTGAGCAACCTACACCCGGATAGAGTCATCAGTGGACTGGGTGAACTAAGTCACAAACAAGCAGCAAAACTTGCAGGACTATGGGTCGAAGGTGTCACCGACCCAACAGGCAGCATGACTGAGGCAAGAACAGTGAGAGTCACCCTGAGACATGGGAACAAAGCAACCCTCAAAATTGCACAAGGTGAGAATGGACCCAGGGACCCTTTGTGCCCTCCCTCCCCCAAGAGTTTCCCAGGGCCCTTTGACTGGTATCGCTAAGGGTAAGCCCAGACAGGCTGCGAACCGGCGCCCAAGTCTACCAATCAAACTTCTAAATGCAGAACACCCAGGACGTGTCCACTCATGAGGGCCTAACAGGGGGTACCATTCCAAACACAAATAAGTATACTGTATAAACCTAAATAAAGATATGGGCAACAAACTAAGGCAGACCCCCCCACCAGGCAGAAAAACAAAAACAAAAGAAAAACCCCGAAAGAGGACAACATACCCAAGTGGACTTGTGGAAGAAGCCCCAAGAGCGGTACTTATATGGCACTTAGGGAAGATAACCCTAAGTGCATGCAGCTCGAGCACCTGTGAATTTACTCCCAGCTCACGCACAACCCTGAAGACAGCACTGGACATAAGGCACAGCACAGCAAACACAAAATCAGGAGCTGGAGTCACACGATCAAGCCTCAAAAACATCAGCCGAGAACTGGGGTGTGGGTAGTCAGCATGAGGGGGGTCTGGGGCTCCCCCTCCCCCTCCCGGGAAGGGAGGGAGCTGTGCAGATGGTGGCGCGGCACATGGTGAAGTCATGCTTGTTTGCTCGTTTGTCTTTGGGGAATTCTGTCCACTCGTTTGACTTTCAGTAGTAGTTTCAACCAGAATAGGGATTTGTTTTGAGATGCTTACCTTTCTGGGTGCCTGACCTGGTTGATGGCAGACATAGAAAGCTCCAAATCACATTTGCAATCTATAGGCCATTGCTCCTTGTACCTCTCTGAGGGGGGGGCCAGGTTCTGGCTTGTGGTCTCTAGAATGCCTAAGAACTCTATTCACACTGACTGATGCCAAAGTCTAATAGTTCCATATCAGCCTGTATAAGCTATATAAGCTGAAGGGGCTCCCATCCCCCAGAAAAACAGTGTATCAGTGTATGTGTATGATGTATCAGTGTGTGATTCATGTATCAGTAACAATGTACAGGATAGTACATGCAATACACCAAAAATGCAACTATAGGAGAATGGGATCGTATGCATGTAACTTTATGTGAACAATTATTATCACATTATATAGCGTCATGGCCCCCAAGCAGCCTGGGTAGAACGAGTCTACCTTTCTGAGAGTTATTTGGCCTTCTGGACCTGATTGAGAGGTCAGAGGAAAGATGTACAGTGGGGGCCTCGATTTACGATGGTAATCCGTTCCCAGAGATGTATTGTAAGTCGAAGCGATTTTTCCCATAACAAATAAAGGGAATTTAATTAATCCATTCCCCACCCTCTAAAGTATTAATTTACAAATACATTTTATACTGAATACAATTTTTTTCTCTAACTACAATACAGTACATATGTTTATCTTACCTTTATGAAGGACTTTTGATGGCGTATGGAAGATGGTGATGACGGGGGAGAAGGAGTGGTGTTACTGTTTGGAAGGGGAGTCCCCTTCCATTATAACATCAGGCAGTGAGGACCTCTCAGGGGTGCATTCTCTGGCACATTTTGCCTGCATATCACTAGGTCCTGGTTGTGGCTCACTGCTTGATGTTCTCACAGCAAATCTATCCATGGGAGATTGTTTTTCCTTTCTTCGCAAGATGTTTCTGTAGTGAGGCATTACATTGTCATCGGAAAGATTAATGCAATGGCCTACTACAGCTTTCTCTGGGCGAGTCTTTTCAATACAAGTTTGCATATCTTTCCACATCTGACACCACTTCTTAATGGTTGCAGAAGGGACATTCGCTGCTGCCTCCTCCTTCTCCACTGGAGAAACATCCTACGCTGGGCCTTCTTGCTGTTCTTTTTGAAAGGCTTGGAGTTCTTCGGTGGTCAGTTCTTCGTTGTCTTCTTCCACCAACTCCTCCACATCATCACCATCCAATTCCAACCCCATTTGCCGGCCCAAAGTAACAATTTCCTCAACAATAGGCGCATCATATATAGGCTCAAACCTCTCAAAGTCTAGTTCTGTCACACATTCAGGCCACAATTTTCTCCAGCCAGAGATCAGGGTTCTTTGAGTCACTTCTTGCCAGGCTTTGTCAACGAGTTTTAAAAAACTACAAGTGTTAAAATGGTGTTTCCAGATCTCTCTGAGAGTGAGGTTTGTGACTTCAGTCATTTCAAAACATTTCCGGAAAAGTGCCCTTTCATAAAGTTTCTTAAAATTTGCTATGATTTTTTGGTCCATTGGCTGAATTAGAGGAGTGGTGTTAGGAGAAAGGAACTTTACTGTGAGAAAATTACTGTATCTGTGCAACAATTCATCTTCCAAGCCTGGAGGATGAGCAGGAGCATTGTCGAGGGGAAGTAGGGCCTTTAGTGGCAAATGTTTCTCCTGCAGATATTTTTCTATGGCATAGGCACACCACTTCATTCACCCACTCCGAAAAAAATCCTAGTCACCCATGCCTTATTAGCCCTCCACATCACACACATTTGGTTATTCTGCACTTTATACTGTTTGAAAACCCTTGGATTTTCAGAATGATACACTAGTAAGGGTTTTAATTTTCAAATCACCACTCACATTTGAACACAGTACAAGCGTAAACCTATCTTTCATAGGCTTGTGTCCAGGCACTGATTTTTCCTCCTTGGTAATGTATGTCCTCATAGGCAATGTTTTCCAGAACAGTCCTGTTTCATCACAATTAAACACCTGTTGCGATAGGTATCCCTCAGCCTCTGCAAACTCTTTAAATTCTTCAATAAATCTTTCAGCCGCTGGTTTTTCTGAGCTGGCAGCCTCCTCATGCCTCACAACACTATGAATACCGCTTCTTTTTCTAAATTTCTCAAACAATCTCCTGTTTCCCTTAAAGTCTTTCGTATTTGCACTCATTCCAGGGGTTTTCTTTACAAGGTCTTCGTGCAATACCCTGGCTTTCTCACAAATGATGGCCTCTGAAACACTATCACCCGCTAACTCCTTGCTGTGTATCCAAATTAATAACTTTTCCACTTCCTCAAGTATTTGTGGTCTTTGTTTCATGATTGTTGATACTCCTTTTGCCACTTTAGCACTCATAATGTCCTTTTTCTTGGCAAGTATAGTGCATATTGTTGACGTGGATTTCTTGTACTGCCTACAAAGTTCAAGAACACGTGCACCATTTTCATGCTTCCAAATGATCTTTTGCTTTTCCTCTATTGTCATCCTCACATGTGATTTCTTGCCTTCAACCTTACCACTGACTTTCTTGGGACCCATTTCGATATATATTATAACAAATTTTATGCTCAAATAGCAAAAACTCCGAAAATAAATGGTAAATCCTTGTGAAGAATTCAGGCTTGGCGCGAGGCACTGGTAAACTGAGCGGTGATCGCCGTGCCACCACGCGCTAGGTCGGCCCGTACGAGGCCGGGGAGGGAGGGAGGGAGGCCGAGTGGACAGCTCACTGGACTTGTGGTCCCGGGTTCAATCCCGGGCACTAGCGAGAAACGATGGGCAGAGTTTCTTTCACCCTATGCCCCTGTTACCTAGCAGTAGCTAGGTACCTGGGAGTTAGTCAGCTGTCACGAGCTGCTTCCTGGGGGTGGAGGCCTGGTCAAGGACCGGGTCGCAGGGACACTAAAAAAAGCCTCGAAATCAACTCAAGGTAACTCAAGATAACCTCAAGTACGTGTATCAACACCCTCGTACTGTATCTCGATATAAATTTTCCGAGCAAATCCTGCTCGTAACCCGAAAAACTCGTACTCAAGACTGCTCGTAAGCAGAGGTACCACTGTATATTAAATATAATAAATGTCGGTGAATAATTTAAAAATATGAGCATGATGAGCATGTAAATAAGTGACATGAAATGAGATGTCGATATTTTAGTGACATGACGTGAGGCTAGTAGGATGTCATGACCTTACTTGAGTCACAGAAGTTGTGAGAGAGGGTTTTGCTTTGTTGAGCTCCTGGCAGGAGGAGGGACCCTAACTGTGTGCTCCTTCAAGAGGAGGGAATCAAGCGGACGTTTATGTGTGAAGCCTGTTGGACGACTTAATGTGCTCAAGTGAGGAGCAGAAGAGCTGTGAGGCAGTCATAAAGAAACTTTGTTGGATGTCTTAGAGGACGACATCTGGGAGTGCCACAGCCGAGTGCCCTCGAGATACAAATTCTGCAGAAAGCTAATATAACAGTTGTTACAATGGTTGCCTGTGCTTGATCGTGTGCCCAGTGACCATGGCAAGTGTTTATGTACAGTATATAGTACATATATTCTATTGAGCTAGTGAGCTAAAATAAGAGACTAGAGATAGGAAAACATGTTGGAGGGAGGAGTGATACATCCGCTCTCACCGAAGGTCAATCGCTGACTGAGTGGGGGAGGCACCAGCCTCGCAACCAGGGAGGCGGCCAGCAGACAGTCTGGACACGTTTCCAAGTGGACCTGCCTAAGATGGGGGAGGACTGTTGCGGCAACACAATAGTGTTTAAAGAGATGTCGGATCGAGGAGTTTTATTTTCTGTGAATACATTTAATTATGTTTTGTTAGGAAAACGTTTATTATGGCATGACAATGGATTTGCAGGTTTGTGTGGGAGAACTGCAATGTTTGGGTTGGAGAACTACAACAGTTTATCTGGGAGAAGTTAGTGAGATAACTTCATACCAGAGGAGAAATGTATGCTGAACTCCAAGTGTGAGCTGAACTGCAAGGTGGTGCAGGACTTCAAGGTGAGGAGTGGAACTCCAGAAACAAAGTGAATCTTCGAGTAGTGAAGGGAGCTACACGTCGTTTGTGTGAAGCGTTTGGAGAGCGCTTCACTGACATTTAAAGAGGACTTCATTGCAACTGATTGGAGGAATGGCAGGAGTACCTTACAGAATATACTGAGGACCCAGATGATGATTGTAGTAGGGGAAACCCGAGTAATGGAACAGAGGATCATATGGACCTTGAGGTTTAAGAGTGTGTTTAATTGTGTTTTGGCATGAAAGGCGCAGTGCAAGGTGAGAAATTGATGCTTTGTGTAGAATAGGAAATATGTGAATATTTTTATTGTGCCAATTAGAATACTGACTATTCTAATTGAGGACAAATTGACAAAGACACTTGCTATACTCTTTCTGTGGTTGGAATGCTATCTCCCACAAAACTACATAATTATCAGACCCCACGAACATTCCTCACAAAATCTGAATATGATGTGCTTACCTCTCATGACAAAATACTTAACAAATATGCATTCTTTTAATCATCATTCAGCTTTTCCTCAGCTTATTGAAATAGCTATTCATAATATTTATAATATTTATCTTTTCCAATATTTCTCTCCTAACTTCTCTAATCAAATAATTGAATTCCCATTATTGGGGATAGGAAGTCTGTGTGTACATATGTATGCTTTAGGCTTGCATCAAGCTCCCTCTCCAGGATGAAACTGCCCAACAACAGTTGCCTAACTCCTAGGTATCTATTTACTGATAGGTTAATAGAGGCATTAGGCGCAAGGAAACGAACCATTTCTATCCCTCCCAGGAATCTAATAGAAAATCCCCAATTGTGAGTCGAGAACAAAGCCAACTGTACTACAAAACCCTATGCCTCCCCATCTAATGAAACAGTACTTCTGTCTACTGTTATTATATAGATAATGATTAAACGTTGTCTAGAGTAGTACAAAATTTGAGGATCATTCCAGGATTCTAAAACACACACAAATACAAAAAACAAGAATTTAAAGCATCAATATGGTAAGTGTAATTTTAATCACAATTCATGCTTGTCAAGGGAATGGCACTAATGCATCACTCACTAACCCAAAGAGTAGAAGTGCCAAAGGGTAGACAGTGCGGGGAAGGTGTGTGAGCAAGAGGTCCTCCAATTGTGCCAGCGGGAGTGCGTGCGACAACCAAAGAGAGATACCCTCCTGGAGAACGTGCCTCATGCCTGTCTGCGATTCTTCGGTTTGAAGTCTCAAGTAGTGATCTATTATCCGCACTGCTTCAGCAACCAAGCTATATGGAGAAACAAATAGCTGAATAGATGGAACAATTAGGAAACATTGTCAAATATAAAATTGTTGCTGAATATACCAAGCAGACACTTAAGAACTGTGCAAAGAAACTGGTACTGTACTGATAAAAAGGCAAAGCTGATAGAAGTATGATGTATCAGTTGTCAAGAGGAGCTGGCAGCTCTCAGAGGTGCTGCTGCCACCTAGCAGTAGTCAGCTGTAACTAGAGGAGTTTGAAATGACCACCGAGAGGACAGTGTGCGAGTCATTTACTACTTCACTTCTTGTTTCTGTGACCCCTGCAGTTGTCTGTTTTGCTTCACTTAATTTCTGGATGTGTCCTTGGTGAGGGTTACCTTACCTTGTGATCATAACACTTCCCTGTTCTCTACAAAGGGTGATCGTAACAATTCCCTGTTTTCTACACCACTTTGAGTGGACCAGTTTCTGACTCTAGTCTACAGTATGCTCATGTAACTAATGCATGGAGTTATCTACAGGGAGCACCATTTTGCCCCTCCAGAAAATTGAGGGAACAAGTGCATCCATGCAACCCATCATCCTGTTTAGACAGTACTTTTTATAACTATGTGCACCATAATACAAACATTGAAGTACTAAGGAATTAGATAGTAGAATTCTGTACCATTAAATTTAGAGGCAGAAAAAATGAAGCTAAAAAACCAGCGTTGAATGTAAGAGGCATTTTCACTTTTTGGGTGAGACCCGGAGGCTCCCCGGGGCTATCCAGGCTGATATGCTAATGTCAGACTTTGGCATCAGTCATGTGTATTGAGTTCTTTGGGCCTACTGGGTACCACGGCTAGAACCTGGCCCCCCTCAGAGAGGCAAGGGAAGCAATGGCCTATAGAAGCCCCTGTGTGGTTGGAAGCATTCTTTGTCTGCCAACGAGCGGGTCAGGCACCCAGAAAGGTAAGCATCCCAAAACAAACCCCTATTCTGGTGAAAATATTGCTACCAAAAGCCGAACAAGTGGACAGAATTCCACAAACAAAAAGAAGCACACTAGTGTGACGTCACCCGTTGCCGCGCTGCAGTCTGCGCAGTTCCCCCTTCCCCGGGAGGGGAAAGGGGAAGCCCCAGACCTACCGCGCCGGCGATCCACACCCGAGTTCTGAGGCTTGATGTCAAAACACGCGAAAAACCACCAACCGGAGGGAGGAAGGGATGCCGAGGAGCCTCCGGGTCTCGCCCAGAAAATGGCGTTTCATTACATTCAATGCTGGTTTTCTGGGGGGAGCCCCTACGGCTCCCTGGAGCTAACTACCCACAGAGGAAAAAAAAAGGGACTTACCCGGGAGGCGGTTGCTGCTCACTCCTCAACCCGAAGTTGAGACAACTGGCTGCATCCGCCGACCCAAAGCGACACAGGCCTGAATGGGCCCAGGGACTTTAACAATTTAACGAGCAACCAGGACCCTGTCGACCGACAAAATCCCCGTGCCTGAATGTCAGCCCAAGACATATTACCAAAGACGGCGAACTTGCAAACGTCATGGGCACAGGGATAGACTGCAGGCTGGCTAGCCTTAATAACCCTGCGGACGACCTGGGAGACCCACACCCGCGAACAGGGAAGACTGGAAACGGATCAATCAAAACACGCGCCAACCCAAATGGGCGCCACATACTGGGGAAGGTGCCACGACCACACCAACGCGAAGAGGTCCACCTCGGGGCGTCCGAACGTCTGGCAAAGTCAACGGAATGAGTCCGCGTCAACCGTCCATTCCGTGGAGAGGGGAACGAAACGAGACAGACCGTCAGCCAAAAACGTTGGACACTCCCCGCACATGAACTGCCAGGCAAGCCAAACCCTGAGAACTCAGCAAACAAGTCACCCGAAGTGACCAGCGCCAAAGAGCTGAGGACCGCATCGAAAGATGGAACCGAAGCACCCGGGGGAACACGGAACCGAACCAGGGAAGGAGCAGACACCAAGTCCAACTCGTATGCAGAGGGGGGAAAAGAAAACCCCACTCCTTGTAACAGTAAGCCCCGCTCAGAGGGCAAAAAACCCCAGGTGGGGTCCAGTGAGGCCCAAGGCCTCCAAGTCAGCCCCTCCCTAGCCCCAAGGTCCTTCTCCGCAGGACCCGGGATCGAGTCCTTCCCCCAAGCACCGACCCCACCAGACAAGGACGGCGCAGCCGTAGAAGCTGGACAGAAGGGGGCCCACTGGTCAGACCCAGAGGCTTTGACCGGGGGAGTAGACTCAAATGCCTCCGCCACCACACCGGAAGGGGCATCCCCCAAGGCTGCCCGAGTCTCAAAACCAACTAACCCCTGCCCCAACTCCGAAACCCTCAGACGTTTCGGGGCCGGAAGCAGGGGAGGGGGACCAAAACGAACAACAGGAGGGGAAGGACGAGGAGGCGCAGACTGAACCAGGGTCGAGGCGACCCCCACCCCCAAGTCCGGGTACCTATAAGCAAAACGGGGCAGCCGCGGGGGATCCGGGTGAGCAACCAAACGAGCACATTGCAACAAACGAAACCTAGAATGCAACGCCTGCGCAGCCTGTACTCGAAGATCATCCACAGATTGGGTAAATTGAGGAATTGAATTGAATAAATTAAACTGCCCAACAGGCAGTGTGATGGAGGTAAAAACCGCGAGGGTCGCCCTGAGACAAGGGGACCGAACAATCCTCAAACTCACATGAAGCGAGGGGGGACTCTGGGGTCGCATCCATTGGACCCACGCGTCCCCTAGGGGATTCGCAGGGTCCTGAGCGTTTATTATAAGAGGACTCGCGCTCAGGTAAACTGAGGCAGGGTACTACTAACCGGTGCCCAAAAGTACCAAACAAACTGTCTACAGCTGAACCCCAGGGATGTGTATGCTCACGGGGGACCTAGCAGGGGACACCACCAAGCATCAGGATAAGGCCAAACACCAGTGGCAAGTAGGGCAGAACCCCCTACCAAAGCAAAAACAAAAAGAAAAACAAAACCCTGCAAGGGGACAGCGTACCCCAAGGAACAGAGTCGGTTGCTGTGATTGGTGACAAGCTGCACAGCACCCTGCGCACCTTACCAGTGCAAAACTGCCTCCTATCCTAAGATAAACTAGGGAGACAAAACACCCAAGTACCCAAAGGGCGGCCGAAAAACCGCACAGTTAAACGAACCCACAGAGGCAGATCCCAAGGAACCTGTGAAAGGTAACCACAAGCTCCAAGGACAGTACTTACAGGGCACCTAGAGAAGGGAACCCTAGGCGCATGCAGCCCGAGTACTGAAGAGTAACTCCTGGCTCTCGCACCCCTAGAGAACAGTCACCACACACAAGGCACAGCGCCGTAAAAGTCTGGAGCCAGAGCATACAACAGCTGCCTATAGCATCAGCCTCAAGAACTGGGGTGTGGATTGCCGGCGCGGTAGGTCTGGGGCTCCCCAGACCTACCACTGACCTACTGTCTCTCAAGGGAGCTGCGCAGACGGCAGTGCGGCAACGGGTGTCATATGGGTGTCAAATTATACATCACACTAGTTTGCTCATTTTTGTTTGGGGAGTTCTATTCACTTATTTGGCTTTTGATAGCAATATTTTCACCAGAATAGGGGTTTGTTTGGGATGCTTACCTTTCTGGGTGCCTAACCCGGTCGATGGCAGACATAGAATGCTTCCAACTACACGGGGGCTTCTATAGGCCATAGCTACCCTTGCCTCTCCGAGGGGGCCAGGTTCTGGCAGTGGTCCCCCGGTAGGCCCGAAGAACTCCATACACATGACTGATGCCAAAGTCTGACATTAGCATATCAGCCTGATAGCTCTGGGGAGCTGTAGGGGCTCTCCCCAGAAAACAAACTTAAATATTCCTAAGCCTAATATAGTGCACACATGTACTATATTAGACCTCAGATAGCGTGTATTAGGCCTAAGGTTAGGTTAAAGTACAGGTAGTTTAGTTTGTCTTTGCGACACAATAGAAAATCTTTTCCGGTCTGTCCAAATTCAATATGTTCGATTTCTACTTTCTAATTGCATTGAACGTTGATATGTGTACTGATATAGTCCTCATCGTCACTATAAGTACAGTACAACCAAAACAAGAGGATAGGCTGATCCATGAGACCAGCTCCAAAAGGATGGTTTCACTACACTCAACACTATATTCCTGATTTTATGATTATCGTCTGCAGGGGGTGTTGATGACACTGTATTGTCCACTTTTCTGTATTACAGCAAACCTGTTCAATTGGTGGTGGATCGATTTAGACTCAATACTGCCTCCATTCCCTAAATTTCACTGGCAAGTTATTTGTACAAAGATCATTGTCACAGTGGATGGGATAATGTCAGCGAGTGCCTAGCAGGCAATGAGTCTGTTGGATCACAATGACTTTAGCTGAGGGAGTCTCTTGATGAGGGCCTCAGCTCAGAAAATTCCCTAAATTATACATCATAAGGGAGTGTCCAATTTCATTCTAATTCTAAAACCTTCATTACAACTACAGAATTAGAATACTGTTGTTGCAAATAGAATTATGGAAAGGAACTTTAAAACAAACAACTGAGTTGGAACAATTTGTATATCAAACTAATTTTCCTTACCAACCTTTTTTCTGGAGGAGGGGGATTTTGCTGTTTATTTTGACTAGAATTGTTTTCATCCTTGACCTCCTTTTCTTGTATATTTTGCTTTGTGTTATCATTTACTTCATGTGGTTGATCAATATCCTTTTTGTAAATATCATCACTTTGCTTCAACAGGGCACAAAGATGGTGATGCATTGCTTGACTATACTGTCTCTCAAGGGTGTAGAGTGTAGCCAATGCTTGGTGGGCTTCTGCTTCCTTTAGCTATATAAATAAAAAAGCATCTAATAAGTAAGGAGTGCCTTCTTAATGCTTCTTAAATATAATTGTCTGCCAATGAATATGTCTATCTTTTGGAGTCATTTACTTAAAAACAAATTTATGTCATTTTAACCAACAGTGATTTACTTACATAATTAAATCAAGACTAATTTGATCTGTTTGGTTGGTAAGGCACTGGAGGGGGTAAGATTATGTTGACAGTTGCAGCCACTGGTAATGCAACAGCAGCCTATGTTTGCAAGGGCTGCACAACCACACAAAAACAACCCAACCTATACCTTTAACCCTTAAACTGCTCAGCATAAGGGGGTAGAATTAAAAAAATATTTGAATTATGTATAAACTACTTAAAAATGTTAAACAAATCTCCAACTTATTGGCTTCAGCGTCGTGAAACTTTCATCAAAATATTTTCAGAAATTGATTTTATACGAATATTAAAAAAAAAAATAACGTTTTGTTGATTAAGAGAACAGCTCCTGTTAACTGGAACTGATAGATAATGCAATAATAAAGAGATGCAAGCACCTGTCCGACGCACATAGAAGAATGTCCACAAAGAAGTGTCCACAAAGTGGACATACAGCTGGTGCCTTTATAGCATTGGTGAGTAATACATAATAACAAAAATAATATTGAGTAAGTATGTTATTATGCTCTATTTTGTTATATATTATATAAATACATTGCCCAATGTTATTATCAGTTACTTTCAACAATGTCCAAAAAATATTTTTTTAGGTTTTTAATTGTTTTCCCCTCCTTTGTTTATTATTTGAATTTGTTGTAACCTTTACATCCAGGAGAATGCACACCTGTCCCTAACTATGTGAAGACAGAATTAAATTGGTCAACAAATAAATCACTCAATTCTCAGAACTTGGGACTTTGTTCTGAGAGTTGACTAGACTAGACTAGAGTTGACTGAGAAAAGGGTGACAGGCAAGAGACACTGAACTACAGGCCAGTTTCCCTAACTTGTATACCATGCAAGGTGATGGAGATCACGAGAAAAAGGCTCATATAGCATCTGGAGGGAAATAACTTTGTAACGCACCACCAACATGGGTTCAAAGACGGTAAATTGTGCCTCACAGGGTTAATAGAGTTCTATGACCAAGCAACAAAAATTAGGCAAGAAAGAGAAGGGTGGACAGACTGCATTTTCTTGGACTGTCAGAAAGCTTTTGACACAGTACCCCATGAAATGCTGTTACAAAAGTTGGAGCAACAGGCAGGAGTAAAAGGTAAGGTGCTCCAGTGGATAAGAGAGTATCTAAGCAACAGGAAACAGCGAGTAACTGTGAGGGGAGAGACATCAGAGTGGCGAGATGTCACCAGCTGAGTCCCACAGGGCTCTGTACTTGGACCCTCCTGTTTCTAATATATATAAACGATCTTCCAGAGGGTAAAGACTCATTCCTCTCAACGTTTGCAGATGATGCAAAAATTATAAGAATCAAGACAGATGATGATAGACAGAGACTACAGGACGACCTGGACAGGCTAGAGGAATGGTCTAGAAAATGGCTACTAAAGTTCAACTCAGGAAAGTGCAAAGTAATGAAATCAGGCGAAGGGAGCAGAAGGCTGAACACAAAGTACCATCTGGGAGGTGAAATCCTACAAGAGTCAAATAGAGAGAAAGATCTGGTGGTTGATATCACACCAAACCTGTCCCCAGAGGCCCACATCAAAAGGATATCCTCAGCGGCATATGCGAGAATGGCCAACATAAGAACTGCCTTTAGAAACTTATGTAAGGAATTGTTCAGGACCCTGTATACGACTTATGTCAGACCAATCCTGGAATATGCAGCTCCAGCTTGGAGTCCATACTTAGTTTAACACAAGACAAAGTTAGAGAAGATTCAGTGGTATGCTACCAGACTCGTTCCGGAACTGAGAGGTATGAGCTACGAGGAAAGGCTAAAGGAGCTGAAACTCACATCCCTGGAAGACAGAAAAGTAAGGGGAGACATGATAACCACCTACAAAATTCTCAGGTAATTGACAAGGTGGACAAAGACAAACTCTTTAGCACCGGTGGAACACGAACAAGGGGACACAGGTGGAAACTTAGTACCCAGATGAGCCACAGAGACATTAGAAAGAACGTTTTCAGTGTCAGAGTAGTTAGTAAATGGAATGCATTAGGCAAAGATGTGGTGGAGGCTGACTCCATACACAGTTTCAAATGTAAATATGATAGAGCCAAGTAGGCTCAGGAATCTGTACACCAATTGATTGACAGTTGAGAGGCGGGACCAAAAAACCAAAGCTCAACCCCCGCAAGCACAAATAAGCGAGTACTTTGAAATTTTTTTTTGTCCAATTTTTTTCACAGATTTCAAACTCTACTTTGCTTGTCTCTTTAGGTTGTTTTGATGAATAGGGACCAGATTAGGGCTTTTTTACTTACATAAAGTATAACCTAAATATATACCCTCATTATAATTCATTATAAGTCATTATAATTATCTCTATTTTGTTTTTTGGGGGGTTATTTTTTCTTGACTTCATTTCTACACACAATGACCTACAACTTTCACATACTTGAGTACGAATGCCAAACAATGTTTATTACAACATACAAGTAAATTCATGAATTAGAACTGTCTTATTCATTGTCGATAACTTCAACTTCAATTATATCTGTAACTAGAATTTCAACTTCAGTATCCAAAAATCTAGTTTCTGACCGATTCTCACCATTTTTACATATAGTGTGCACAGCTGTCGGCTTTACAATCCAATAGAATTAATTTTTCGTAAACTCTTTAAAAGTTTGGAGTTAAACAATTTTGCTGTTTAAATTTGCGCACGTTTCAAATGCCATGTTGACAATTTTTTTACAGTAAACTATACTGAAAACCTATATTCTAAATATATGAAAATGAAGATCATATGCTATTCTGAGAGCATAACACCAAATGAACAATTGGTGATACTCTTTTATATTTTTGCAGCTGCTATAAAAATCTGAAGTTTTCAATATTAAATTTTATAAGTATTTTTTATTTTCTTGTTTTTCAAATTACACTGGTATCATTTAGACAAACTTGGAGCATTTGCCTAATAGATTATGCACAAAACATTTGAAAGAGTTTCAGAAAATTTAAAAAACAGAGCTCAATGTCACACATCATATGACGTTTTGTGCAGTTCAGGGGTTAATGAATGGGTAGGGTTATTCAATGTTATGTATATTGCTTATTCAAAAGAAACCTACCATATTTGTAATGCTTTTTATATTATATCTACTGTGGAGGAAAGTCAGTGCAGCATGTAATGTGTAGACACCGTATGAGCCATCATCCACATCATCTGTTTTAGTTGTTTCTTTTTCATTATTAGGCCCGTCTATCCTGTCCAGTCGAATCTGGCTTAACCGCCAATGAGCTCCAACTTTTGGCTATGGAAAAAAATAAAAATTCTAAGAATTATATGGAGGTATAGTTTCAAGAGTTAGAAACCATTAAAAGATCCTTGAATGAGAACAGTAAAAGTATAAGTTTTGAGTTATATGAAAAGCACAATGAAATCAACAAGATCATGATATATCTATGAGAAAATACCAGTGCATTCAGTGGTGCACGTGCCCGAGGAGCACAGGCATGTAGGTTCAATCCCATTTTATGCCCTCAATATTTTCTCATGAAAAGCACCCAAGTGGGTCATTATTATCTTTTCCTAACATAATATTCACTTTGTTTGGTGGTCATGATTCTACAAGACAAAGCAAGACAACACTCTTATGAAATACATTAGCTGGATGTACAAAAAACATGGAAGCCTGAACCTGAGTTAAGAAATGGCAAATCTAGTACATCATGCCTCAAGGTGGACAAAGAACACTTCTAAGTAGGCCAGCAACAAAAGCACAAAACTCAACTAGTCCATGAGAACAGGCAGCCAAAGGTGATACAACACTGCTGAGGTAGACTGGGCAGGTAATTGGTGGCAAAGGTCCGATTCAACCTGCAGAATCTCTAGGCTCAGATCAGTGAGTGTGCACCTTGTGATATTCACTTCCTTGGCATGAGTTTCAATCTAATTAACATTTTGTTTTCTGTAAGGAGGCATACAATTCTTCTAAAACACACTCATTAGTCTATTCAAAGTTTCAAAGTCAACATGGAGGGAACATAAGACATCTTAGAAAGTACTTTAAGACTGAGTAAAACAGCAAAAATAGTTATGCATGTTATTTTTTAATTAAACATTTATTTAGTGAAATACGTAGGCATAGTTATGTTTATTATAATTATTTAGCATTGCTATCAGTGTTGGATAATAAAAAGATAATACAGTACTGTACTGATATGGTGTAAATACTGATACTGGTACACCTTTCAGCTCTTAGCATTTAGAGTACAGTTCAAACACAGTTATACATTTCTCATATAAAAATGCATTTTTCAAATAATAGTTACTCTTAAAGAAGGAATATTAATATTGGATTTTTTTTTTATATAAATTACTGTAATGACTACTTTTACCACAGCCTCTTCCAGAGTTTGGCAATCTCCTACAAATATGAATTTTGGAAGGATGATCCAGTAGGTGGTTTTGGTCTGTTATTTAAAGGGATTCTCTATAGGAAAGTCTGGATTTTGAAGGGCCCCACTGTAATGCCAAAATTATGCACTGTAGGTCATCAGTGGGTGACAGAATGGGGAATCTTGGGAATGTATAGCACCTGTTCACATTTACACCCAAAATCTTAAAACTCCACAATACAAAGCTTATGGATATGAACTTTTAAATAACTATAACAATACTATACACAATACTAAATGTAAAAGATATAATTCAGATTATACAAACTTTTTCTTGATTTCCTCCCGACATTCCAAAATGATGGGGAGACGAGTTTGGGTGAGAAGGGAGTCCATTTATTATTCTTGGAGATTCACAGTTGGAGTGCACACTGTGAGGAACCTTTAATACACGCTTTGTAGTCCGCAGCATGAATACACGTCCAGCCTGCCCTTTGTCATCGTCTGTGGTATTGCTCTTGCCCAACTGCAAAACAAGTTCATCATTAATACCTTTTGAATCCATTTATACATGGCTGGGGGGTTACATTCTATTCAGTTAAAAGGAGCTATCTAGTAAAAATGCTTAAGTAACAGACTGACTAAAGTGAATATCATTACCATTATAAATACTCTGTTTCCCATGTTCATGTGATGGCGAGGTGCTCCAAGCCAGTGCCTGATTATGGCAAAAAGTGTACCATTTGCCCAGCAAAAATTAAGAGTTGTCTGCCAACCAGGAAGAAGTCGAGACCTCATACTGTAGCCAGGATTGAGAAGGCTACCCATACTCAAAAGAGTTAGGTACCATCATAGAGTAGTCCCGGTTTGTGAGCAGGAACAGCTGCAAGTTAATGCACATCATGACTGGGAAGAAGTGAGATGATGGGAACCTGCGTAAAGGTGAATCCAAGCCACTAACTAACATGGCAGAGGAGTATTCTAGCTCATACTGCAATGGAAGGTAAGAATAAGTATCCATACGTATCAAATAAAATGATAACTAGGTAGTGATTTTCTTCATTGTAATGATTTTTATAAATCATTATCATCAGAGTTGCAAATTATTCCAGGCAGTTGTTTGTGTTGGAGCATTGACTTGCTTTCTGGTGAATTTTTTGGGTACTGTTGGAAATTTCCAACAGTTATTCTCATCCCTAATACAATAGGATGCATTTCCTGTATTAGGCTTCATAATCATTTAATACTTGTTTACTAATCCTTAGTACAATGGGATGTATTTCCTGTACTAAGCGTAATAATTAACTAACGCTACTAATCCGTAGTTTAGTATCATAGAATTCATTGCATTAGGATGTGGATCATGTAATTTCTCCTCAAATTGTGCAGTGTTGCGTCAGCCACCCACGGAGAATAAATTTCCACATATTTGTAGATCTAATAGAAGTTCAACCATTTACTTTCCTTTATTAGGGATAATTATTTAGTAATAGGAAATGTTATGCATGCTGGTGGCTTTACAAGACTGTAAGAGCTCTTGTATATATAAATAAATAGATAAAACAGATTAAAGTTAAGTTTGCTGGCTGCATTTCGACCTTCGACTGGAACAGGGTTGAAAACAAGAAGTCACATTAATACACTACAGTTCCCTTCCTTCCATTAAGCACTTGCACTCTCAATATATTTATTCATATTTTGTTTATCATGCTCATATCCTTAACCTATACTACTCAGACCTCCACTTTGTCTACTGTACTTACACCATACCATATTGCAAATACCTGTGAATAATAGTTGGACCCCCATCCCCAAAGTTGTCCCTGAGATTCAAGAGCAAGGGTAAAATCAGCTCCACACGCTATGTCAGTAGCATATGCTTCATCCAGAATACGAGTTGGGCTCAAAACTTCACGACGATTTCCAGTTCCTGTGAATACAAGAGATTCAAGTTAGTATTTCAGTAACTGTTGATAATGTTTACAGAAGCAACAAATATTGTTGTTTTAATTCTAATATAGTTCTGTTGTATGTACAAACTATGTTAGCCTGGGAGCATTTTCACACCCCAGTTATCTGTGTAATTTAACAAATTTCCATGATATTCCAAAATCTTGTGATTATCTGCATTAATTTGTCAATGTGATGCATGCTACTAAAAGAGAATAAATTTTTCTCTTACTTGGTTTGATGGATGGTTTGTCTAATGTGTTTGAACATTTAATATAGTACATATATGATTAAAGTGAATCCTGCTTGATACCTGCTTGATGAGGTTCTGGGAGTTCTTCTACTCCCCAAGCCCGGCCCGAGGCCAGGCTTGACTTGTGAGATTGGTCCACTAAGCTGTTGCTTGCAGCGGCCTGCAGGCCCATCTTTGAAGTGCCTATCTCTCTCTCATTTCAATATTCAAATTGTGTACTGTACCTCTACTTTCACATAAAAGAGCAATTACTTTAAAATATTATGCACACACATTCAGAGGCAATATGATAAAAACCACACAAGATACAGAGAGAGGTACAATGAAAAGAGACGGTATTTACCAGGTGAGGGGCAACGGAACGAGGTAGCACAGGTAAAGTTGGAAACATGGACAAGCCAGAGAAATATAAGAAAATACCAGTTTGAAGTACAGTTGGAAAACAAGTAGAATGTAAGGAAGAAGTAGTGGAAACAAATTCATTCATAGCTTCATAAACTAGTAGGTCAAGAGTATATTAGCTAAACATCTATTTCCAAAGACAGTCAAAGAAAACACCCTGGTAAACAGGCACACGCAGATCAGTGTAACTCAAATTACAACAGGAAAAGCTAAATGGGTTGAATATATTGAATAAATTAGATAACACTAGTTTTAATGATACAACTACATTGTTCCTGCAGGAAAGAGATTGATGGACAGACTGCATTTATCAAGAGTAAGATATTGCCCAAGAGAATGTGCACGTGACATTTGCTCAAGAATATTACATATTTTGATTTAACAAAACACGAGAACTTACCTAGCTGCCCAGACATATTTCGACCCCATGCATATAAGGCTCCATGTGTTGTCAAAAGAATACAATGCTGGCTTCCACAAGCCACTGCTCTCACTGCACCAAACCCATGGGGCATGTCTACTTCCTGTGGAAGAAGGTGACCCAAGTCACTGGGATCACATGATGGCACAGTATTGGCACTGACTCTTCGTGTTCCGCTAGTAGGTATTGAGTCTGTAAATTATAGAAAGTAAAATTAATACTTCTGGTATCAAGAGTAAAATTAATACTAAGGCATCAAGAGTAATGAAACAATATAAGAAGACAACGAAGAAACAAAGGCGAAAAGGGAACACAGCACGTTAAAGAAGCACAGGATCAGGGCCATGGTCAGTGAAGTCAGGGTTAGGGGGCATGGGTAAACTGAGTAAATGAGGAGGGAAGGTAGATAAAGGAATGACCAGGGGCGGACGAGCAGGGTCCAGAGGAGGAAGAGGGGGGGGGGGGGATAACCGAGGGTCAAGGACAGCAGCAGGAGGGACAGAAACAAGGGGATGCACTTAAGCAAGGGCACCAACCGAGAGGGAAGCGGGGACCAAAGAGGCCTCCACAGCAGGAACAGGGGGCGTAACCACCGAAACGGGAGGGGACGGAGTGAGAGTCAGAAGTAGGGGGCGAGGAAGAAAGTGAAGCCTAAGGAAAAGATAAACGCTCCTGGTGCTTCAAGTTGAGGATGGCTGCCTCAAGCTTGTAATGTATACACGCATGGGAGAAGGTAGGGTGGGCCTCACTGCAATTGAGGCAGCGAGCCTGAGGAGAAGTGCACTCCGACTTAGAGTGACCTTCGCCCCCACACAAAGGACAAAGAGAGTGTGTTCCGGAGCAGCAGAGGGCACCATGCCCAAACCTCCAGCACTTATTACAGAGTCGAGGAGAGGGAATGTACTCCTGGACGGAGCACCTGGCACCAGCAAGAATGACAGATGGCAGAAGGGTCCTACCATCAAAGGTAATCTTCAGAACCCGAAGGGGTTGATGGTGACGACCACGAGGGGGACGAGTAAACGAGTCTACCTGGAGGACAGAATGGTCCTAGGCATCGAGGATATGACGAATATCCTCATGGCAGTCCTGCAGATTCCGAACACCGGTAGCAACATGGGGTGGGAGGAGAATAGTGCTAACACTGGCATTCAACCGAGCATTCTTGGAGACGCGAACAGGGGTCTCGCCAAGGCAGGACAAGGCAGCCAAGCGGGAGGCTGCATCCTGAGGAGCAGCAGCAACGACACGTGCACAGAGACGGGTGGGGTGGAAAGTAATAGAGGCATCTACGGAATCAACAAGATGCCTATGAAGGAGAAATCGTCAGGAGGCGCAGAATCAAGAGGGAGGAGATCAAAGTATTTAGCCCTCGAAGCGGGAACAAACAAGACCTGATACGCATCAGCACGGGAAGGAATCGAGCGAGTGCGGCCGTGTCGAGGACGGTGTTGAGAAGTTCTACGGGTGCAAGAGTATACCTCCTCAAACACCCGGGTGTCAAAACAAAAGAAGGCTAAAAGAATGATCAAAACAGGCACAAGGTCAGCAGGAAATGACAACGAGAAAGGAGAAGAGGGAGGGGAGAAAACAAAAAAGGAAAAGGCGTCCAGCAAAATTTGTGAGGACAGCAGCAGGAGCACAAGGCTACAAAAGGACAGGGGGGACCGCCCCAAGGAGCATCACACTCCGGCAGCCGCACACCAAGCCCCCTCACGGCAGCAACGAGCTGGACAGGGAGGGGGTTTAAGTTCCAAAGACACTGCAAAATTGCAATCCTTGCAATTTTAGTGTCAATGATCCCTAGCATGGCTGCCCTGTGCCTTCAGTCACTGGATGTGATGTGCCAGACATGGTCTGCATCTTCTTACTAAGGCCCAGGAAAGAAACTATGAGATTCATGTGTTTTTTTTTCAGTGTGGCAAATCATCAACAGAGGTTTCTTAACGTGTTGAATTACTCCCAAGAATTGGTTGAATTTCTGAATAAAATGGAGCCCCTTAAATCATCTCCAGGTAATTGGAGCATATGGGCCAATCGCTATGGAGCAAATAAAAGTGTAAATGAGGAAATAATTGAAATGCCCACTATTCAAAGTGTAAATGAGGAAAAATTGTGTATACAAAAAAAACTGGTAGATACAGTAATGCTGTCACGAGTTTCACTGTAAAGAGCAAAAGAAAGCAGAAGCTCTGCTTCACAGGAAAGCTGTGAAATGTTGCATAAATCTACTGATAAAGTATCAGTATTTTCCACAAGGTTATTACGAACATGGGCCCTTGCTCTCAGAGCTCACAATCACAAATGAAGCAGTGGCAATAAGCTTAAGAGTAACTGAGGTTAAACAATTCTTAGAACACCTGTTCCAAGGCAAAGCCATAATTGTAGTGAGTGTATATATCTGAGCCATTGATAGTGTGGACACATCCATAGGTCTAAACCTACTCAAAGTTATATCCTAACCATGATGTTTTCTTAAGATTGGGTTAACACATTTGGCAAAGAGCCTGTTTTGGGCACCAGGATAAACAACTTACATTCTTCACTTTTTGAACTGTTGCTAGCAGATGAATTCTCCAGACACTTTGCATGAGGATTTGAGCTATAACTATTGTTTGTGCTGGTTGAATTGGCACATTCCACACCTTCAGCCTTGAGCACATCTTCACTGTCATCACTCTTCCCTTCCCCATTTCCCAAAAATTTTTCTGGTGATGGTTCTGGGGATATAACAAAATTTTTATCACCATCAGAGCCGTCCTTGTCCTCCTCTTCAGGCAGTGTTGTTATTGTTTCTTCACTATCATCTAAAATTGTACTTAGGGGCACTTCATCACAGAGATGTTCATTGTCATCAGTATTATCTACTGGCTCAGAAATATCATTAGCACCATTGGTATTAACACCACTCTTTTTCTCATCAAGAGTTCCACATGCTTCTTCACTACCTTCTACCTCTTTCTCATCTTCAACACCCAAGTTGTTACTATTTTCATTTTTAGTCTCGGCACTCTGTCTTCCATCCCCCTCGCTTTTTCTTCTAGTCCCTTCTGCGGTCTGCTGTGTTGTCCTTGCCCGTCTCTGAAGCTGAGCTTGTACTCGCAGACAAGCAGGATTGCTGCCCCACATGTACACTTTGTGGTTTTTGGTTACAGCAATCTAAAAAAAAAAAAAAAAAAAAAAAAAAATTGAATATATACAGTATGTATATTATATATATATTAATTTATTTTATATATATTTATTATATATATATATATATATAAAATAAATTAATATATATATATATTTATATATATTTATATATATTTATTAAATTATAATACAGTACCCTGATTTATTTGTAGTCAGATATAAACAAGCCATGTCTCAGATGTGATGAGCAAACCACATCCTTAAAAAAAACGTGTTAAATGTAATGAATGACCTCTTTCTGGGTCGGGCCTTGGTGGCTCCCTGTAGCTAGCTCACTCAGATGGCTCCACACACTAGTTACAAGCCTGAGAAATTCTTAATGGCCTACCGGAGACCAAAGCCAGAATCTGGTTCCCTCACAGAAGAACAGGGGTCACCTTCACCAACAAAGCATACACAAACTAAGTGAAGCAAAATAGACACCTGGAACAAGCCAGGGAGAAGGAACTCATTGAAAGCTCCTCAAGCACCTGGGTGTGGCTAGAGCTGTGCCAAACTCCCTAAAATACAGAGAGTTGTCTCCAAGCAGCAAAAACCTCAGGAACCAGGAACCTCACAATGCAACCACAATGCCAAAGCTGATTCAAGCCCAAAAGAGGCCAGGACTATGAGAGAAGTGAAGTCCTATACCTGCAGAGGGAACTGAAAGTGACCGATGGAGCTGAATGAGGTGGAAGGCGGGATGAAGGAACCCCCCCCCCTGGAGATGAGGTGAGATGCAGATGAGGATACTAACAGTACACTAAAGCAAACCCAGGGAGGAGCAGGCAAGGAAATAAGCTCAAACATTAAAGGAGGATAGGGAAATATCTCCCAAATGAGCTGAATTGTCACCCCACTCTTCCCCCCCCCCCCCTCCCCCCCCTGCCAAGAGAGAACCCAGATACCAGGAAATGTTGAAGGACACCCAGAGACACACCTTGGGCTAGTCCCCATCCCCAAAAGTCCAAAATAAAGACCCCAGGACAGAACTGAGCTCTTTGCCTGACACCTGAAGAGATAGGAACTCATCTCTAAACTCTAAAAGTATCTGAAGTCCCAGAGAAAATTATGTCTACGGATCCTTGGTGAAAAGCAATGGCTCAAATGTGTCTGACATCGATGTAGAAAGGACGATCCCTGGAGAAGGTTGAGCTACACCCACAACTAATTGCCGTCTGAATTCCAAAATCCTCAAATGTCTCAAAGCACAGAGCAAGTGGGAGTGAACAAGGGGTCCATACAATGGGTGTCAGATGAACAATGGCAGCAGCAGTTAACAGAGCAGCAGTAGTAGAAAAACTAACCGCTCTTCCCTAACTTTAAAACACCTGAAGACTAAGAAAGATCGACTCGGGGCAACATCTCGAGCATCAAGCTGCAACACAAAAATGGACAATAAAACTTGAAGTGGTGGCTGCTTTTGGTGCTTCATTACTACACAATAAATAAAAACCAAAAGATGGAGGCATTAGTTAAAACAGCAGATCAGCAAACCCAAATGCCACAGGAAGTGGGGGTAGAGAGTAAAACTCATCCAACAGGTGGCAAAGGGAGACAGTAAAAAATCATCAGTTTGTAGCAAAACTGACGGACATCCCTTAAACTCACAAGTAGTGAGTGCAGGATTGGGGGTCAATCCATAATGTGCCACACTAAAGACTCACGGAGCTTGCCAGGGCTTGAAGGTAAGGACCAAAGAGGGCACCCAGGTACTAGGAATGCATGCTGGAAGAACTGACACCAAAATCAGTCTTCATTATAAACACAGCCACAAAGGGAGCTGTGTTCTGTATGTACACGTACATGAACATAATGTACCCCTTTATCAATAAATTCCAGAAGGCTACCAATCACAGAGCCTTGCAGAGGAGTCAAAGACCCTTGTACTATCCAGGGCAAAGCACCCTACACACTGCAGGGGCAATGACAAACGAGCACCTAGGAAAGGGCTGTCCTAAACACATGCAGCTCAAAGTGATAATAAAACAAGTCCACACAACAAGTGAATTATGGAAGCATGTGAAACAAACGTTAAACTTTGAAACAATACACAAGCAAATGAGCATCGAAGGACAGTGTCCAATGGATGGCCTCACTTATCTGGAAAAAACTGAGACTTGCTAAAACTGGTGACTCATAGCATGATCCACACTTGAAGACATCAGTGAGGAGGAACAAGGTTTGCTGATACTGGGAGCCAGAGCTCCTGGTGGTGTTGCCACCTGGCAGTTGCTAGTTGGAACTAGAGGGTTCGACCTAACTGCAGAATCATTTGCTGCTCCATTTCTTTTCTTTCAGTGAACCTTGCAGGTGACTTGTTTTGTTTCACTCCTAAGGCTGATGTGACTCATATGTTTGGAGCTATCCAAGTGAATTAACTACAGAACATTTAATGGTTGGGAGCGCATGGAGAAGCCAAACCTCCAAAATGTTAATATGCAACCAAGTGTAGATTGAAAGTCCTACAATTATCATTCTTTTTCGTAAAATATTTTTACAGTGGATATACCCACTCATTAAAATTGCAAAATCTAATACAGATAATTTTTTTTGTTATCTCAAGGTCTTACCTGGTAAGAGAGGACTTTTAAGAACATACAAACACACACTATAACTGACTTCATAAATTAATAGAAGCAGTGCATCTAAGTCTGGCAAGTGTAAATTTTCATTGTATTTATTGAGTTTTCACAACAATATTTGTCTAAATAGAGACAAGAGAAACCTCTCCTATGGCCTTTTAAGTTTTTAATGAATGTAATTCAAGGTCAAGTTCAAGGTACACCATGAGCCTAAAACTCCAAGAAATAATCCATGTCCATTATACATAAATGAATAGGTATACATAATTACAAAACATTTTCTTACATTTTGAAAATAACCAGCAGCAAGGTGTGTAGCAGGTCCAGGCAATGGAACTCTCTCTGGACTCGTTACCTTCACAATGCCACCATTACCAACCTGACCATATGTGCCACATCCCCAAGCATACACATTTCCATCCGAGGCCATAGCAACACTGTGGGCATAGCCACCATCAGCAAACACCATGTGCTGAAAAAAAGTAATTTTAATAAAATTATCCACTTAACAAATTAATACAGTATCATGATATTAACACTTTCTTTCGGGAGGAACGTATACGACGTCCGTAATTAACTCTGTGGATGTTCGGGAGGGACGTCTAGGACGTCCAATTTTAATACATTTGTTTAAATTAAATTTTTTATCCGATCGCCGGGCTTTAGGACTTCATATGTACACATCCCTGTAGAGCATTCTATTGCAAACAAATTTATACCAAAATGAATGACCTAACAAGAAAATTTATGTTATCAAACTAAAAGGATTATACACATTTGTGTGCAGGTGTAGCAGGTGAGCAAATGCGTGCTCGCTCACGGGTAAAGCTTGGCTGACGTTCACCTTTGCTGTGGGGTGGGGATGGGGGTGGGGGGTGGGGGCCTAGGATTTTGGACTTTATATGCATATACCCCTGTAGGGAATTCTATTGTGAACAAATTTATATCATATTGAACGACGTAGGACAAGAATTGAGGTGGGAATTCCACAGAGTAGACACATTTTGGTGGTGTTACGAGTTCACGGGTAACCCTCGGCTGATTTGTGAATTTACAGGGGGGTGGCACACCGGGCTTTTGGACTTTATATGTATACAGTGGTACCTAGAATAATTAATTTAATCCGTTCCGGCGCCATGATCGTCATGTGAAACGGACGTCATACAAAACAAATGTCCCCATTGACAATAATGGGAATCAAATTAATCTGTTCTACCACCGAAAAACATCAATATGATATTTGATGTTTTAAATAATGGAGCAGCCTACCTTACATACACTAAACAAACCTTTATGACATTTTTCTTTCTTCAAATTTCAATATTCTTTTTTCATTTGTCTATAGCAAAAGGTTCGTTCGGTATTCGGCAGGTAGGCTGCTCCATGTTTCTTAAGCTGCTAAGGAGTCCTGAGGAGATTTACACCCCTGTGCGCAAGAAAAAAAAAAATTCTAAAAATTTATTTCGTCTTCTAAAAATGTTAATTTGTGTTCTTGAGCACTGGAAAAAACCAGCGTTAAATGTAATGAAATGCCATTTTCTGGGTGAGCCCCGGAGGCTTCCTGGAGCTTATTGGTCTAATGTATGTTATATTAGACCGGGACATTAGCTAAGGAGTTCAGACCTACCATAGACCAGCGCCAGAACCTGGCCCCTTCAGAGAGGTTTCAGGGAGTAATGGCCCTGGAAAACCCCCTTGTGGTTGGGGTTTTCCTTATCTGCCATCGACTGGGGTTAGGCACCCAGAAACGTAGGCATAACAAAACAAACTCCACATGGTAAAAAACTAAAACAAAAAAACGAACAGAGAGGTAGAAACTCCCTACAATCCCAAGGAAACAAGCAAACATCACACTTTACTGCCGCGCCGATCATCCGGGCAGCCCTCCCCGCCCCGGGAGGGGGAGGGGGGAGCCCCGGACCTCACCGCGCCAGCTGCCTAGCATCAGTTTGGAAGCTAAGCTTCAACGCAAAAAAAACACCGACTGGTGGGAGGGAGGGTTGCCAGGGAGCCTCCTGGGCTCACCCAGAAAATGGCATTTCATTACATTCAACGCTGGTTTTCTGTGGGGAGCCCCTATGGCTCCCTGGAGCTTCATACCCAAAGAGAAGGAAAAGAAAGGGCTGACCCGGGAGGCAGCTGCCACAAACTCCGCAACGCGAAGCCGAGACAACAGGCTGCAACCTGCAACCCAAGGCAACAAGAACGCACAGGAGCAGACGCGCGCATAAAGAACGGGCGGTCAGGAACCTGTGCGACCCTCAAATTCTCGTGCCCAAAATGAGCCCTAGACGTCACCAACACAGCAGCGAAAGCTGCAAACGTCCGAACAGCACAGCTGCAAGGATAGACCGCAGGCTGGAAGACCTAAAAACTCTGCGGACGACCTGGGAGACCCGAGCCCTGAAACAGGGAACCGGATCAACCCGAAGCACATCCCCAGACACGGTACGCAGGTAACGGCAAAAAGCGCAACCGGACAACACAGGACACACCCCCGACTGAACCAATCAAGCATCAATAACCCAAGGACCCCCCCTTCCCCAGTAAGCAGCTGTCTCGACCGTCGCCAGAAGGACGGAGAAAGAAAGGCTGCAACGTACAAACCTACCACCAGTACCAAAGAACAGAAACCTGAACCAAAGGGGCTACCTCAAACTGAGAAGATAAGAGGGCACCCTGATCAAGGACCAGGACGGCTCAGGCGACACATGAGCAGGCCGGAGGTGAAACAAAACATGAGAAAGAGTACGGAACGGGGCAGATGTGACGTCCACCCCGCACGCAAGCCGGAGCGGCTCCGCCAGCGCCGCACAAAACAAGGCGACAGTAAGAAACATCAAATAACTGTAGTCCTGAAAACCCAAGAAAGGACAAGACAACCCGATGCGAAAGAGAAGACGACCTACGAAGAGCAAGGAAAAGATGCATAGAAACACCAGGAACATCATACTGTCGCCAAGATGAAGCTCGCAGGTGGGACACCAACAAAACCACCTGATCACCACAGAGATGGTGATACCCGCGTCAAAAAACCAGACACGAAGAGCCGAGGAGAAGGCCGAACCAGTCACTTACAGGACCGATCCGACCTGCCGAAAGAGGCGGAGCAGCAGGAAAACGCCCCGGATTTGGACACTTATCAAGCATCGTCTGAAAATAAACCTGGGCCGGCCACCAAGGAACCATGAGGACTACTCTCTTGGGAATGGGCTCCAACCGAGCCAGAACCCAAAGCAACAGCTGGATCGTGAGAAAAGGAACAGGTACCCCCACCTCGACCAGTCCTGCCGAAAGGCATCCACCGTGAACGCCTCGCAGGCAGGTAAGGGTGGATAGAATCACCCACATAGAATGGGCGACGCCTAGACCACGCTGACTCGAAGACGTCCATGGCCAGGAGTCCATACGTCCAGCAGAGCCAACGAAACGAGTCGGCGACGACTGGCCAATCCGTTAACAGAGGAATGAACCGAGACGGGCTGTCCGCCAGGATGTAGGACATACCCCGGACATGAATCTCACGGTTAGCCAAACCCCGAGAATCCAGCAAACGAGCCACTCAAAGGGACCAACCTCAAAGGCAAACACCTAAGAGAAACCCTGCGGTTCCGGCAAAGAACCAGACCAGATATTGCCATGGTTACTAAAGGACACTGCAGGGATTTTGTGTTACCCATTACCTATAGTCTTAAACATTACACTAGACACAGGAGAGCTACTGGGAATTTGGAAAATGCCAATGTAGTTCCAATAATCAAGAAAGGGGATACACATGATGCACTATAAACCAATGTCCTTAGCATGAATTTCAAGGAAGATTCTAGAAAGTCATTATTTCTAGAAGCCCATTTCGTAGCATGCCTTTGCACCTTTTCCAGTTTATTGATGTGCTTCTTGAGATATGGGCTCCATACAACTGCTGCATATTCCAACTTTCGTCTCTCAAAAGTCACGAACAGTTTCATTAGTATTTCACCATCCATGTAATTAAAAGCAAGTCTGAAGCTGGAAAGTGACGAATATGCTTCTCTCAAAATGTTCATTATGTGATGGTGGTGATAGTATGAATGCACATGATATCACCCATACTAGATGGATTGGTGATGACATGTTGCAAGGAATATGCTGTTGCCTTGGGTATAAGTGACTGTTTTAAGACTTATTACACCAAGTACAAGTTCTAAAGACTGTAAATACAATAGTTGGTTGTACATAAGAAGAGTCAATATAGGTGAAGCAAATAGAAATGAGTTTCCTATATTTTTTCAATGCATATATATATGTATGTCTCCGCACTTACTTTTTTGGCAAGCTTTTCAACAGCTGTTGGAACAAGGCAGTCCTCTACATTACTATTGCCAAGCTGACCATGAACACCCCATCCCCAGGTGTACAGCCTAGAAGATAAAATAGCTCATTTATGGTACAGTACAGTACTATGAATTTAGATATAAAAACAAATTTATTACAAATAATTTAGCTTGTGATACCACAGATTTTGCAACATTCACAGAAAAAAAAGCATGCACCCACAACATTTATAAATTAAATACACAGCAAATTTACTTACTTTCCATCCTCACTGACAGCTAATGAGTGGAACTGACCACACGAAACGGATATGATACCCTTGCCTTCTAGACTAGTCAGTAAAGTGGGGCGCGGATGTCGACCTGTACCCCCAGTGCCAACTTGACCATACCTGTTGTTACCCCAGCCATACACCTGCAGAAATACCCAATGAATCACACCAGCAGTAAAGAGAAACATTCCTGTCCCCAGCAATAGTACAGCTTCATAAGATGTGAAATTTTATTAAGAATAGTGTATACTGTGTACGTACTGTCCAACAATCATTTCCCACACTATCAAAACTAAAAACCATTGCACTGATAACTCGGAAATCCACCATAGCTGTTACCTTATAAACATAAAACAAAACATATAAAATCTATTAATACAAAAAAACCAGCATTGAATGTAATGAAACGCCATTTTCTGGGTGAGCCCCGGAGGCTTCCTGGAGCTTATCGGGCTAATGTATGTTATATTAGACTGAGACATTAGCTAAGGAGTTCAGACCTACCAGAGACCAGTGCCAGAACCTGGCCCCTTCAGAGAGGTTTCAGGGAGCAATGGCCCTGGAAAACCCCCTTGTGGTTGGGGTTTTCCTTATCTGCCATCGACTGGGGTTAGGCACCCAGAAAGGTAGGCATAACAAAACAAACTCCACATGGTAAAAAACTAAAACAAAAAAACGAACAGAGGTAGAAATTCCCTATTTTTTTAGACATGGCGTCTGTTTTCAAGAGCCCTGAGGAAGCTGATGTGAATCCTGTGTAGCCGTGGACCATTTGAATTGTGCCTGGCATCCTTTGGCGTATATATATGCCATGCGCTCGGTGTGTGTATAGCAATGTCTCTTAGTGCCTGAACTAACTATATCAGCTTAGTTGTACAGTTGTGGTGAACAAAACATGTAGATACTTAAATATAATGTGTGTGTATATAGTGCAATAACTGCAAAACTATTTGTTTATTGTTTTATGAACGTAATAATTGAATCACTAATATGAACACCATACTTTTGAGTATAGCAATGATTCACACATTTTATTACATAAATCTATCACACTACACACTATTGAATAATATTACTGCAAAAAGTAAGAATAAATCAATCGGAGACATTGAAATAATATGGTGATAATATATTTGTGGCAACTCCCACCTGTCAGCTCGGGTGACACTGACCGCCTCTGATGACTGCTCTGCCAACGCCCACATTTTGCCAGACTTCCTCAGCCAATTGTGCCCAAAATATGTTGCCTATGACTTTTTTTCCCCGTGCTCAGGGAACACAAATTAACATCTTTAGAAGATGAAATAATTTTTTAGATTTTTTTTATGTGCACAGGGATGTAAATCTTCAAAGGACCCCTTAGCAGCTTTAGGGTTCAGAACAAAGTATAAGAGCAACAGCCAGTTCACACAGTTTAATGTCACTATGATTAACTCAAACCTTGATGGGCATCAATCACTGGACAATTATCAATACCGCTTAGCTACTCATAAGGTTGTCCACCTGAATTAACCTGATGAGGGGACTATAGCTGAAGGCAGATTCAGCACTGTCTATTTAACAATGATCACTAGCAGGATATGGTTAATAGGAGCATATCATAAAGAAATGTAAAGTACATTCAAGATTTTCTGAAAAACATTGTTTTCCAAGTAATAACTATATATTTACAACTACAGTATCTACAAATATAAAAACAACAAATAAATGTCAAGTTACATGTTAAGGAAAAGACAATGTGACAGGTTTGGAATGAGAAGTGTGATAGCCCTGTCTCCAATCTTCTATTATAATACACTGACAAAGATGTGAAAACCTACCCCATTATCTGTTATTGCCAACATGTGGTTCTTTCCACCAGCTATGCACAGCACTCGCATCTGACTAAAGTGTGATAAGAGTCGGGGTTCTGAGCCATCACACACAAAGGAACATGAAGATCTTCCATTTATTAGTGGAACAAGAGAAGTGGACCCTCCCATTACATGTGGGATGGTACTACCGAGGGCTGACTGGAACAAAGAAAAACATAAGCATGTACTATACAGTATAATACAACTAAGCTTAGTGACCACACTCACTTATAAGATCATCCTGCTAAATATACTATATCATTATTTGATAGTTTAAATATTAAATTTAAATCAACATCTTCATCAATAGCATATATAAAAACCAGCATTGAATATAATGAAACGCCATTTTCTGAGTGAGACCCAGAGGCTTCCTGGAGCTATCTATTCTGATATGGATGTATAGTACTAGACTTTGGCATCAGTCAATGTATCAATGTGAATGGAGTTCTAGGCCTACCGGGCACCGCGACCCAGAACCTGGTCCCCTCAGAGAGGCACGAAGAGCAATGGCCTATAGAAACCCCCATGTGGTTGGGAGCATTCTATGTCTGCCATCAACCGGGTCACGCACCCAGAAAGGTAAGTGTCCCAAAACAAACCCCTATTCTGGTTAAGAAATTGCTACTGAAAGTCGAACTAGTTGGACAGAACTCCCCAAACGAAAAGGAGCATGACGTCACCACGATGCCGCGCCGTTTGTCTGCGCAGCTCTCCCCCATCCCGGAAGGGGAAAGAGGAAGCCCCAGACCTTCATGCCGGAAGTCAAAAACACACGGTACACACAAAAACACACAAAAAGAGTGTGGTCCCGGTTCGCTGACCGGAGGGAGGGTTGCTGGGGAGCCTCCAGGTCTTGCCCAGAAAATGGCATTTCATTACATTCAACACTGGTTTGGGAGCCCCTTCGGCTCCCCGGAGCTACTTACCCAAAGATAACACAAGAAGGACAAACCCGGGTGGCGATCGCCAACACAGCAAACACACAAAAGTCATAGGTACGAGGATAGACCGCAAGCAGTCTGGACCGAAGGACCCAGCAGACAACCTGGGAGACCTGAACTCTGGAACAGAAAAAAAAGGGAACCGGTCAACCCAGAGCACATCCTGGTCACCAAGGCCATGGCGCGCAGGAAATGGTGGAGAGCCGCAACCAGACAACACACAATGCACCCCCCAGCCCGACCAACCAAGCAACAACAACCCACGGACCTCTCTGGAAAGCAGCAGTCTCATACCTCGCCAGAAAAGGCAACGGCTGCAAACGAACAGTACAACTACCAGAACCAAAAGAGCAGAAACCCTCAAAGGCCAATGCCAACAAGAAAAAAGCCTGCGCCAAACAAACCTGAATCGAAAGGGCCACCACAAACCGAGGAGAAGAGAGGAAGGAGAGCACCCGGTCCAACTACCAGGACGGCTCAGGCAGCGCATGAGCAGGCCGGGGGTGAAACAACGCACGAGACAGCTTGTGGAACAGCCCAGAAGCAACATCAATGCCGAACGCAAGCCGCAGCGGAAGACCAAGCAGAAGTAGTCCCCAAGGTGACTTGTGGAAGGTGGCCCCAAGCCCCAAGGGCAGTACTTACAGGGCACCTAGGGAAGATGACCCTAGGCGCATGCAGCCCAAGTACTTGTGAAATTAATCCTGGCTCACGCTCCACCAGAGAAACGGCACCACACCACAAGGCACCGAGCTGGAGGACAGAAAAACAGGAACCAGAGACACACGACTGTTGCCAATCACATCAGCCTAAGAACTACAGTGTGGATAACCTGCGTGATTGTCTGGAAGCTCCCCCTTCCCCCTCCCGTGGTGAAGTCATGCTCATTTACTCGTTTTCATTTGGGGAGTTCTGTCCACCAGCTCGGCTTTCAGTAGCAATTTCTTAACCAGAATAGGGGTTTGTTTTTGGGACTTAACTTTGAGTGCCTGACCCAATCGGTGACAGACATAGAATGCTTCCAACCACACGGGGGTTTCTATAGGCCATTGCTCCTTATGCCTCTCTGAGGGGGCCAGGTTCTGGCTTGCGGTCCCTGGTAGGCCTAGAACTCCATTCACATTGACTGATGCCAAAGTCTAGTACATCCATATCAGCCTGGATAGCTCCAGGGAGCTGAAGGGGCTCCCCCCAGAAATATCTAATTACAATGAATGCTATTATAAATAGCATTCATTGATAATACTCTCCAAGTATTACCCTCAGTGCGAGACGGTGGACTTTGCTCAGCTAAACATCGACACCCAAGATGCAACTGAATGTGTATTATGGTGCACGAGATTATGGTTAGCGTTATTTCAGATTGGATTACCATCACGTGGGGTATTCTTGGATAGCTATTTTCATTTGCTCTCTGGATATACATGTACTAGTAGTATGATGGCCAGTATACGATGTTTGGTTATGATACAAGATCAGAGAAACCCTATTGAATTTGTACGGAAACAGAGGTGGAGGTGCCATCTTTAGATGGCGGAAATTGATACAAGGGTGGTGACTAGCAGAAAAGAGTGAGGTCACCTGATATCACGTATCAGTGCTGGGAGATAGCTGACTTAACATTTCCCAACATTGTGCAAATTCCGAGATGATGACATAGGGGTCTGGTGAAGTTAGAAAGCAGCACTTGTGATACGAGTAGCAAGATTTATTCTTAGGGGTGACTACTGTGACAGTTGGATGTGTGTTCCATCTCTGCCAAGATAAGAGTCACTTGGTCATGCAGTGTCAACTGCATCAAGTTTATATAGCTCAAATTTATTACTATGGTATCACCAAGAACCTGAATTTGTCTGCGGGTTAATATATACAATTCATATCTGTTATTAGCATAGCAATCGTGAGGGTAGCCATGGTTTAGTCCAGACAAGTGACGTCATTGTAAAATGGTTGATACCTGGTTGATGGGGTTCTGTTAGTTGTTCTACTCCCCAAGCCCAGCCCAAGGCCAAGCTTGACTTGTGAGAATTTGGTCCACCAGGCTGTTGCTTGGAGCAGCCCGCAGGCCCACATACCCACCACAGCCCGGTTGGTCCGGCACTCCTTTGAGGAAACAATCTAGTTTCCTCTTGAAGATGTCCACAGTTGTTCCGGCAATATTTTTTATGCTCGCTGGGAGGGTGTTGAACAACAGTGGACCTCTGATGTTTATACAGTGTTTTCTGATTGTGCCTTTGGAACCCCTGCTCTTCACTGGTTCTATTCTGCATTTTCTTCTGTATCGTTCACTCCAGTACGTTGTTATTTTACTGTGTAGATTTGGTACTGGGTCCTCCAGTATCTTCCATGTATGTATTATTTGATATCTCTCTCGTCTTCTTTCTAGTGAGTACATTTGGAGGGCTTTGAGACGATCCCAATAATTTAGGAGCTTTTAGCGTCTATGCGTGCTGTATATGTTCTCTGTATTCCCTCTATTTCAGCAATCTCTCCTGCTCTGAAGGGGAAAGTGAGTACTGAGCAGTACTCAAGATGGGACAACACAAGTGACTTGAAGAGTACAACCATTGTGATGGGATCCCTGGATTTGAAAGTTCTTGTAATCCATCCAATCATTTTTCTGGCAGTCGCAATATTTGCTTGGTTATGCTCCCTAAACGTTAGGTTGTCAGACATCATTATTCCCAAATACTTTATATGCTGTTCTCCTACTATGGGCACATTTGATTGTGTTTTGTACCCTGTATTATGTTTAAGGTCCTCATTTTTACCGTACCCGAGTACCTGGAATTCATCACTGTTAAACATCATGTTATTTTCTGATGCCCAGTCAAAAACTTTATTAATATCAGCTTGGAGCTTTTCAATGTCTTCAGCCAAGGTAATTTTCATACTGATTTTTGTCATCTGCAAAGGATGATACGAAGCTGTGACTTGTATTTTTGTCTATATCCGATATGAGAATAAGGAAAAGCAGTGGTGCAAGGACTGTACCCTGAAGTACAGAGCTTTTAACTGTGCTTGGACTTGATTTTATAAGGTTGACTGTTACTCGCCGAGTCCTGTTTGACAGAAAATGAGTATCCAGCATCCTACTTTACTGGTTATTCCCATTGACTTCATTTTGTGTGCTATCACTCTATGGTCACATTTATCAAAAGCCTTTGCCAAGTCCGTGTATATCACATCAGCATTCTGTTTTTCATCTAATGCCTCAGTGACTTTGTCACTGAGGCATTGGTAATATTTATTTGGTAAACTTATTGAATGGTCTTTAATCATACGTTTCACTTTGAACTGATGGCATATATTAATACTATCTCTACTAAAGCTTGAGAGAAATAGATTTTCCTCGAGTTTCTTGTGAGACTTGGTGCACTTGCTTTTCCTGTTTGATTGGGAATATACATGCAATTACAAATATACAGACTATCTTAAAGAGGTTTAATTTACCATGCAGTTAAGGTTAATACAACATGACAGCCTAATCAAAGTTGCAGGTGCTGCCCTTCTTCAGTGCCTAAATAATAAAATCCAAGATATTTGATGAGAGTAATATTCAATTACCAAATAAGTGGCTGTTATATTTATTGAATAACTTGATTGACAGATAGTAATAACAGAAACAATTAGAATAAAAAATTAGCTAACCTCCTGATCCTCTGGCAGGGAAACAATGAGACCAGAAAAAAGTTTGTGATTAGTTGTGGATCTTGGCCCATGACCCAGAACCCCATAGTCAGGAGTGCCCCATGTGTATAGAGCACCACCAATTATCACAGCGGTATGACCATAACCACAGCTTAGCACCTGCCGACGCACCTTGTCTACTGGAACTGGCACATTCTGCAAAGTTTGTTAGAGAAATAGGGGATCAGACCCGAGTAAATTTATTAAAATTATGGTATACCACACAACAGCAACCTCACCAATCCAATTAGGTTCATTATTTGGGTAGTCAAATCTGACTGATATTACTGAATAGGAAGCCAATTCAAATGAGATAACTGCCTAACAAAGGAGACACTTGACTCATGAACTCATCAGAAACAAGAAACAAGTACTGTAACACCCAATGGGCCAGACAGAGGCTTGGGGGTCACACAGGAAAATCCCTGAAAAAAAATCAACTCATGAAACATTATATCAAATCAAAATGCTGATTGGATGAAAAGATATTCAGATAATTGAGTTACTTGTGAGGACATACATTTTCCTGTACTTCAAGCTCTTTTTCATTAAAGTCTTCCTTCCTCTGGGAATGTTCCTTCCTTAAATATGTCACCTCATGTAGATTCTCAAGACATTCAAACAACTTCAAGTATTAACCTAGTGCTGTAAAAAAACAAACGTTGAATGTAATGAAATGCCATTTTCTGTATGAGACCCGGAGGCTCCCCAGAGCTATCCGGGCTGATATGAATGTATTAGAACCTGGCATCAGTCAAAGCAAATGGAGTTCTAGGCCTACTGGGGACCACGAGCCAGAACCTGAACCCCATCAGAGAGGTACGAGGAGCAATGGTCTATAGACACTCCCATATGGTTGGAAGCATTCTATGTCTACCATCGAACGGGTCAGGCACCCAGAAAGGTAGGCGCCCCGAAACAAACCCTATATGGTTAAAATATTGCTGAGGAAAGCCGAAGTGTTAGAATTTCCCCAAACGAAAAACGAGCAAACGAGCATGACATCACAATCGTCACCGCGCTGCTGTCTGTGCAGCTTTCCCTCCCCAGGAGGGGAAGGCTCCAAATAGGAGCCCCAGACCCCAGTGCCAGCTATCCACATCTTCAGTTCTGAGGCTGGATGTCAAAAACCCCGCGAAAACCACCGACCAGAGGGAGGGAGGGAGGGAGGGTTGCCGGGGAGTCTTTGGGTTTCACCCAGAGAATGGTGTTTCATTGCATTCAACACCGGTTTTCTGGGGGGAGCCCCTTCGGCTCCCTGAAGCTACTTAACGAAAGCTAAAAACAAGAGGAACTTACTCGGGAGGCATTCACCACTCGATCTTCAACTCGAAGTCAACACAACTGGCTGTAACTGCCGACCCAATGTGACATGCCCAACTAGGGCCACCTGTGGTCCTACCGCCACACCTGGCAGACCCCCGCCAGGCAACACAAAACTAAAACCCCACAAAAGCACAACGTCTCCAGAACAGAACCGGTCGCTATGCGTACATCAGACAGCTGCACAGTACCTCATGCCCCAGCCAGCGACGAAACTACCTCCTAACCCAAGGGAAACAGGAGTAAGAACCACCCCAGCTGAACCCCCAAGGGCGGGCAATCACCGAGCAGCGACAGAACCACACGGAGGTAGCTGCTCCTGAACGGCTCATGAAAGATAACCCAAAGGCTGCAATGGCAGTACTTACAGGGGCACCTAGGAAAGGCAGCCCTAGGTGCATGCAGCCCCAGTACTCTTGTGTTACGTCTGGCCCACACACCACCAAAACAGAGCAACACCACCGCACTGCAGCACTGCGCAAAGAGTGGAGCCAGAGCGATCGACCGTCACCAACACAACAGCCTCGAACTGAGGAGAGTTGCCAGCGTGGAGGTCTGGGACCCCCCATCCCCCTCCCAGGGAGGGGGGGGGGGTTGTGCAGACGGATGCACAGCGTTTGTGGTGACGTCATACTCGTTTCCTTGGTTTTGATTGGTGAGTTCTGTTGCTAATTCGGCTTCCGGTTTGCAATTTATTTGATCAGCAGTACTGTAGTTTGTTTTGGAATTCCTACCTCTCTGGGTGCCTGACCTGGTAGATGGCAGACAAAGACTGCTTCCAATTACATGGGGGTGTCTTTAGGCCATTGCTCCTCTTACCTCTCTTCAGGGGGCCAGGTTCTGGCTCTGGTGCCCGGTAGGCTTGGAACTCCTTCGATTGACTGTTGCCATGGTCTAATATATACACAGCAGCCTGGTGTAGCTCCGGGAAGCTGTAGAGGCTCTCCACGGAAAAACCATATTTTTTCCCATCACAGGCGTGACATCTATATAGTAAGTATATAAAAACCCACTCGGATGCGAATGGAACGTTGTGTGAAGATTTCAAACCAATTGGTGAAGAACTTTCGGAGATTAGCAATTTTGAACAAACGAACATTTACATCTTTATTTATATAGATATATAATGCATACTGTACAGTATATGTAAACTTCATCTTACCTCTTTGGGAGTTTCCATTTTGTATGTCAGGAGATCAGGATTGTACTTCCAACCTCTTCTTTGGTTTAGTTGAATAACGATGGCTAAAAATACCTCTATAAAAGCTTCTACAGAGACAAGTTCTTCATTACTATATGGTAGGAGACATGAATTTTGAACCATTGTAGATAGAGGAGGAAAAGCTTGCTTTTTACCATTTGTGGATTGTAGGAATGGCCTGATGGCTGGTTGTGTGGGATTATAAAGATCAGCAAAGCGGTGCAGTATGGGAATCTCCACTGTGGCTAACAGGCTCAGGACTAAAGCAATGTGTGTTCGGGCTAATGATGGTCGAACTAGAAGAACCTGCCGCAACTCTGGATCTGACACACAATGAAGGTATCCGGCTTCTCTTTCTCGTGCAATTGGTAAAATACCATCTTGGTTAGCCGAACTGCTGAACTGCTCTGGACTTAAAGTATCCAAAGCTGCTGAAGCTCGAGATGACAACAACACTTGCAGTTTTTCTAGATAAAGTCCACGAGATGCAGCTAGATACTGGAGTGTCTCCCAACGCCAAGCATCTGCAGCAAGTGTTAATGCCAAAACTTCATCATAGTATTGATTGTCCCTGAGAAAAAGAAGCAAGTTTCTCAAGGCTTGTTGTTGTGGAGGAGGCTTATGAGGACCTGGGAGACACAAGTGATGAAGGTGACACATTACAGCCAAATTGGCTAAATTCCGCCGCTCCTCGCTACCTAGATCTGGACCACTGACGCCACTTGTTAGTGTACCCATATACGTGAGGAACTCTGTAACCAAACCCTGGGCAGCAAACTTGATTGAGCATTTAACATGGGGGCACTGAAAAAAAAGAACAGTATTAAATATAATGAAACACCATTTTCTGGGTAGAGCCACGGAGGCTCCCTGGAGCTATTGGACTGACATTAACTAATATTAGTAGGGGGCTTCAGTCATAAACAGCCTCCTGGTGATTCAGAGCTCATTAACTGTTTAATAATTTTAAACAAAGCCGCCAAAGATTGAGAAAAGATGTACAGGGGCCAGATTCATGAAGCAGTTATGCAAGCACTTACGAACCTATACATCTTTTCTCAATCTTTGGCGGCAGAACAGAACAATCTGTTCTGTTAGAAGTAGCACACACTGTTGTGCTCACATATTTTAATAGGGTATGGATACTGACCAGCCTTTACTGTTTTTCTCGAACATGCAGTACCAGAAGTAGCACACAGTCTTGTGCTCACATATTTTAATAGGGTATCCTTCTCTTTCTTGATGTCACTTACTGTACTTTTGCCGATGTTAAACTCTGCTGCTGCTCATGCATGAGAATATCCTTTATCGAGTTTCTTAATTAACTCCAGCTTTTGTGCAACCGTAATGCGCATCCTTTGGGCAACTGTTGACTTTTGTAAATAGAAATGAAGATCACAATTAACAGTACTGTAATGTCCTTCACAATTGAAGCTAGCCGCATGAGTTCACAGTAAACAATGGGAACACACAGCCCGGCGCAGTACATTCTAGGTCCGTGGGAAAAAAATACCTAGTGCCTATAATATAAAAGGTATTTAATAAGAAAAAGAATTTTGCTTAATAACAATTGTTTCAAAACATTTTATTAATACTAATTTAGAATTTTCTTCATCAAGCTGAATCATTTTAAAAGAAAGTTAAGATGTAATATACGACTCTGGACGATCGAGGTCGGTGGCCTGGTAGCCATGTGAGCGGACGCCGATGCCAACATAAACCCAATAACAACCGTCGGTAATATCGACCGCCAGACTGGTATATGAGGTTCCAGATACCGGTCTCCCAAACCGGTCGTTAGTACTGGCAGATCGGTATAAAAGAGGCCGTTAAATTAAGTGGATACTGTACTCGTTCAGTTTGATAACATACTCGTTTCAGTTTGATGCGGGGGTTGGCACGAACGAGTGGTGGGTGGTGAGACGACGTATTGCTTGTTTCATTGTTTATCTTTGGAGGGGTTTCTCACCTCTGTTTGGTCTCATGTTGCAATATTTCTACCAGGAGGGGTCTATTTTGAAGTGCCTACCTTTCTAGGTGCTCAACCTCCCCCCCCCCCCCCCCCCCCCGGTCGATAGCAGACATGAATACTGCACTTTCATACATTTGAGTTTCATAGGCCATTGCTCCCTTTGCCTCCTGAGAAGACCATGTTCTGACTAGTGGTCCCCGGTAGGCTTGACAACTCCATATGACTGAAACCCTGTACTAATATTAGCTAATATCAGTCCAATAGCTCCAGGGAGCCGATGGGGCTCCCCCCACAGAAAAAGATAAAATATAGGTGCACAAATATAGGAATTGACCAAAATAAATTATTCTGATGATGAGTCACAATAACGTGGTTAAAGATATGATGACCAAACCACATGTCAGATGAAGAAATGATGACTTTTTGGTCCGTCCTGGACTATTATCAAGTTGTGTGTACACTTGCTAATGGTCGAGGACGGATCGAAACGTTGTCGTTTTTTCATCTTCTGATGTGTGGTTTGGTCATCAAATCATTCTGAATTAAATAATAAAGTTTTTGTTAATTTATTTTACCTAGATCTTTGAGAATTCTTGATTTAACACTTGCTACTAGTATTTATCAAACATTTTATTGACACAGTTCATAACGTTGATTTACAGAAAAGTGGTCCAACCTTGCATACCAGGACTTGTCCAATTTGACCCAACTCACTCATTGCCTTACTCAGCAATGTGTAAAATATGTATACTGTACAGTTCTTTTGTCATGTTTATTAAGTTATTTATTGTGTTGCAATATGAATTTTGAATAAAAATATTTGGAAATAAATATTTGATAGTACAGATGCAAATAAATAGGTAAAAAAATTATGAGTTATTAATTGTGTCACTGAGTTTTCAAATAAAGTACAGCACTGTATTTATAAATATTAACATGTTAATTTAATATATATATATGTATATTCTTATTATTATTATTATAATATATATATATATATATATATATATATATATATATATATATATATATATATATATATATATATATATATATATATATATATATATATATATATATATATAAATATATAAATATATATATTATATATATATTATATATAATATATATACTGTATATATATATATAATATTATATATATATATATATATATATATATATATATATATATATATATATATATATATATATATATATATATATATATATGTCGTACCTAGTAGCCAGAACTCACTTCTCAGCCTACTATTCAAGGCCCGATTTGCCTAATAAGCCAAGTTTTCCTGAATTAATATATTTACTATAATTTTTTTCTTATGAAATGATAAAGCAACCCTTTTCTCTATGTATGAGGTAAATTTTTTTTTATTGGAGTTAAAATTAACGTAGATATATGACCGAACCTAACCAACCCTACCTAACCTAACCTAACCTATATTTATAGGTAAGGTTAGGTTAGGTAGCCAAAAAAAGCTAGGTTAGGTTAGGTTAGGTAGGTTAGGTAGACGAAAAAACATTAATTCATAAAAACATGGCTTATTAGGCAAATCGGGCCTTGAATAGTAGGCTGAGAAGTGCGTTCTGGCTATTAGATACGACATATATATATATATATATATATATATATATATATATATATATTATATATATATATATTATATATATATATATATATATATATTATATATATATATATATATATATATATATATATATATATATATATATATATATATATATATATATATATATATATATATATATATATATATATATATATATATATATATATATATATATATATATATATATATATATATATATATATATATATATATATATATATATATATATATATATATATATATATATATATATATATATATATATATATATATATATATATATATATATATATATATATATATATATATATATATATATATATATATATATATATATATATATATATATATATATATATATATATATATATATATATATATATATATATATATATATAAATTAATCTTTGTGTTTAGATAGGAGATGCCTCGTATGGGCCAATAAGCCTTCTGCAGCCCCTATGTTTATCCCTTATGTATCCCCCCATGTTTTTCACCTTCATTGTATTATCACCTGACCTAATGCGGGTATAAAATCAACTAGTATTGTAAGATCTGTTCACTTGAGAATGAACCATGGAGGTTCGAAATGTCGTGCAAATTATACAAATAAGTGTAATACACTCTATAGTAAATCACTTCTTTTCTTCACCTTAAAAGTACGAAAATGAGTTTTGGAGAACTCCTATTTCAATTAAGCCCTGATGCTAAGAAAATAGTTAGAGGGATAGAAGCCCTAAACCAGAAAATAATAAATACAGAATATGTGGTCATATTCAATGAAACATTATATATATATATATATATATATATATATATATATATATATATATATATATATATATATATATATATATATATATATATATATATATATATTTATTTATTAATGTTATGAAAATATGCACATATGATCTATGTTTTAAAAAAAGAAAACAAACATTACTTGAATTCAGTTTCCTCAGCTGACTTGCAAAAAAAAATTACATTATTTGTATATTCATCGATGTACACAATATCCTGCTGCCCACAGAACATTGAAGACTCCAGTCCAGACCAGTGTGCAACACCAATTCACAATACAGCATGTTTTTTAAAATTCCCTGCTAGGAGCATAAGACTTTTCAACATCTTCGCTCTATATGTATGAGGTATTACTAGACAACCTCTCAGTGTTCACAAGGTAACTTCATAAACATCTCCGAAGGGTACAGGATGCACGACCAACTGGGGCCAGATTCACAAAGTAGTTACACAAGTACTTACGAACGTGTACATCTTTCCTCGATCTTTGACGTCTTTGTTTACATTTATTAAACAGTTTACAAGTACGAAAACTTCCAAATCAACTGTTGTTATTGTTATAAACAGCCTCCTGGTGTTTCAGAGCTCATTAACTGTTTAAATTGTGGTAAGGGTTGACTTGGGTCCAGCACTGACTGGAAAAACTAAGTTCCGTTTATTTTCATATGTGGGAGTTGGGCTATTTGTTTCAGCCACATTATGATTTATCTCGGCCTAAAAGCACTATTTGAAATACCTAGAAGCAGGCAATTTTTCATTAATAATAATATTGTTATTCAAAATAATCTATGGTTGTTTTCAAGTAGAGTACTTCATTGTTTTCCATAAAAATATCCAGTTACAATTAATCAACTAAGTTATGCAAGAAGCAATACCGGTACTGTACTATTAAATAAGCTACTCTCACCCTTGAGTGTTTGTACAGTGCAATGGCAGAACTGAAATTACGAGATCGTAGCTTCACGTCAGCAGCCAATTCAAAGAGCTTGGGGTCCAGTGAGAAGATGACTCCAAGTTTGTTAGCACAGTCGATATCACCAGCCCTCAGCACCAAGTTCATGAAGAGAGATTCCACACTCGTTCTAAAGAAACAAGGAAAAAAAAATTTGAAGAATAAACTTTTCTTTAATGCACAAATTAAGTCTTATTTTACAAATGCAATAAACTTCCAATATGATGCATTAATGCAATCTGAGACCCTGTATCAAACAAAATTTTTTTTAGATTTTTTTGGAATTTTATGGGGTAAAATAGAACACAATCCAAGATGAACAAAATTTATTACATAAAATATAAAACCAGAGATGAATGTAGTGAAACGCCATTTTCTGGGCAAAACCCAGAGGCTCCCTGGAGCTAACCAGGCTGATATGAATGTATTAGACCCTTGCATCAGTCAATGCATAGAGTTCTAGACCTTCCAAGGATAACGAGCCAGAACCTGGCTCCCCCCCCCCCCCATCAGAGAGGAACAAGGAGCAATGGCCTATAGAAATCCCCGTGTGGTTGGAAGCAGTCTATGTCTGTCATCGACTGGGTCAGGCACCCAGAAAGGTAGGCGCCCCAAAACAAACCCCCTATTCCGGTTAAAATATTGCTACTGAAAGCCGAACTAGTGGACAGAACTCCCCAAATAAAAACGAGCAAACGAGCATGATTACCGCCCATGATCACCACATTACCGCCCCGATGTTTGCACAACCACCTCCTCCCTATGCGGGGGAAGGGGGAGCCCCAGACCCCAGTGCCGGCTATCCACACCCCAGTTCTGAGGCTCGATGTCAAAACACGCGAAAAACTGCCGACTGGAGGGAGGGAGAGTTGCCAGGGAGCCTCTGAGTCTCACCCAGAAAATGGCCTTTCACTACATTCAATGCTGGTTTTCTAGGGGGAGCCCCTTTGGCTTTCCAGCTCCGGGGAGCCAAAGAGGCTCCTCATAGCTACTTACCAAAGACAAAACAAGAGGGACTTAACCGGGAGGCGGTTGGCCCATGCTCCCCAACTAGAAGTCGAGACAACTGGCTGCAACCGCCAACCCAATGCATCACAGTCCCAACTAGGCCCAGGAACACTGATAAGGTAGCGAGCGGCCAGGAACCCGTTCGACCTCCAAAAACCCAGTACCCGAATGTCAGCCCAAAACATGTTACCGAAGATGGCAGCCAGTGCAGCAAACTTACAAATGTCATGGGAACAAGGATAAACCGCTGGCTGGCTGGACTAAATAACCCTGTGAAGGACTTGAGAGACCCGAACCCTGGGAAGAAGGGAAACCGGGTCAGCCCAAAGAGAGTATTCGACCACCGAGGTGGTGGTGCATAAGTAACGGCGGAGAGCCGCAACTGGACACAACCCATGATGCACTCCAGGCCTAACCAACCAAGCATTAACAACCCAAGGACCCCTCCGGAAAGAAGCAGTCACATTCTTCGCCAGAAAAGAAGGAGACGGCTGCAAACAAACATACTGTACTACCAGAACCAAAAGAGCAGAAACTTCTGTTCTGGAGGAGAGCATGAAGCTCCCAACCCGACCCTCAGAGGCCAATGCCAACAGGAAAAAGAGCCTTGAAAAAATAAACCTGAACTGAAGGGGCCACCACAAACCGAAGAGGAGGAGAGAGAGAGAGAACACCCAGTCCAACGACCAGGATTGCTCAGGCAGCGCATGAGCAAGCCGGAGGTGAAACAATGCACAAGATAGCTTGCGGAACGGTGCAGAAGTAACATCAATGCCGAAACGCAAGCTGCAGTGGCTCTGTCAGGGGCGCACAATACAAGGTGACAGTATTGGTGGACAACTTCCTTGGGAGTTGTCCACCAACTCCAACTCTATGGTGTATAACAGGTCACTGGAAACAGGAGACTTACCAGAAAGTTGGAAGACAGCTAACGTAGTCCCAATGTACAAGAAGGGTGACAGGCAAGAGGCACTGAACTACAGGCCAGTTTCCCTAACTTGTATACCATGCAAGGTGATGGAGAAGATCGTGAGGAAAAGGCTCGTAGAGCATCTGGAGGGAAATAACTTTGTAACGCACCACCAACATGGGTTCAGGGATGGTAAATCGTGCCTCACAGGTTTAATAGAATTCTATGACCAGGCAACAAAAATTAGGCAGGAAAGAGAAGGGTGGGCCGACTGCATTTTCCTGGACTGCCAGAAAGCCTTTGACACAGTACCCCATAAAAGGCTGTTAAAAAAAAGTTGGAGCAACAGGCAGGAGTAAAAGGGAAGATGCTCCAGTGGATAAGGGAGTACTTAACCAACAGGAAACAGCGAGTAACAGTGAGGGGGGGAGATATCAGAGTGGCGAGATGTCACCAGCGGAGTCCCACAGGGCTCAGTACTTGGACCCATCCTGTTTCTAATATATGTAAACGATCTTCCGGAGGGTATAGACTAGTTCGTCTCAATGTTTGCTGATGACGCAAAAATTATGAGAAGAATCAAGATGGATGAAGATAGACAGAGACTACAGGATGACCTGGACAAACTGGAGGAATGGTCTAGAAAATGACTGCTAAAGTTCAACTCAGTAAAGTGTAAAGTAATGAAATTAGGCAAAGGGAGCAGGAGGCTGAACACAAGGTATCATCTGGTAGGTGAAATCCTGCAAGAGTCAAATAGAGAGAAAGACCTGGGGGTTGATATAACACCCAACTTGTCCCCAGAGGTCCACATCAAAAGAATATCATCAGTGGCATATGTTAGACTGGCCAACATAAGAACTGCCTTTAGAAACTTGTGTAAGGAATCGTTCAGGACCCTGTATACCACTTATGTAAGACCAATCCTGGTGTATGCAGCTCCAGCCTGGAGTCTATACCTAGTTAAACACAAGACAAAGTTAGAGAAGATTCAGCGGTATGCCACCAGGCTCGTCCCGGAACTAAGAGGACTGAGCTACGAGGAAAGGCTAAAGGAGCAGAACCTCACATCCCTGGAAAACAGAAGAGTAAGGGGAGACATGATAACCACCTACAAAATTCTCAGGGGAATTGACAGGGTGGACAAAAACTCTTCAGCACGGGTGGGACACGAACAAGGGGACACAGGTAAAAACTTAGTATCCAGATGAGCCACAGAGACGTTAGAAAGAATTTTTTCAGTGTCAGAGTAGTTAATAAATGGAATGCACTAGAAAGTGATGTGGTGGAGGCTGACTCCATACACAGTTTCAAATGTAGATATGATAGAACCCAGTAGGCTCAGGAATCTGTACACCAGTTGATTGACAGTTGAGAGGAGAGACCAAAGAGCCAAAGCTCAACCCCCGCAAGCACAATTAGGCGAGTACAATTGGGTGAATACCATACCTGTCTATTTTCTTGTATATTTCTTCAAATTCCCTAATCTTCACTTTCCAAGCTTCATTATCCTTTTCCAGTTCCTTTACGTGTGCATCCTATATCCTTACCTTATCAGTCAAGCTGTTAATTTCCTTACCTTGCTGGTAAATACTTCCTTTTAAATTACAAAACTCAATCTTGAGACCTTCAATTTCTTGTTTTAATTTAATTACCTTTTCTTCATATTTCTTTAGCATGTCCTCATAATCACTAACCTGCCAAGAAAACCACCTTTCATTGCTTCATTGCATCTTGTTGAGAGAAACCTGCAAAAAATTCCTTTGATGGGGTACTGTCTTCCCCAGTGGTGGCGGCGGCCATCTTTGTTGACATTCAGCTGTTTTGAAAGATCAACTTTTCTACCACAGATTTTTCATTCACTAACACTTATCTCCTATCTCTTAGTTTCTTTTCAAATTATCTACACCTTCATGTATTCTGGGTCACCACTTGTAACCCTCACCCTGCTCTCAACACTTAAATAATTTGAATTCTCCTGGAGCCTGCAGCAGTGTGACTCCTCAGTGTGATGCTCCTCCTCCACATCTGTGTACAATATGTGGCCCTTGTTCAGATATGGTGCAAGCAGTGCCTTCACCACACTACCTGAGAAATGGGGAAAGCAAGGCAGATCCCCCACAAGGCTAAAACGTGAAGAAAAACAAAACCCCGCAAGAGGACAACGTACCCAAAGGAACAGAGCTAGCCGCTATGAATGGTGAAAAGCTGCACAGCACCCTGCGCCCCATACCAGTGCAACTGCCTCTTACCCTAAGGTAAACAAGGAAGACAAAACCCCCAAGCACCCAAAGAGCAGCCGGAAAACCGAGCAATAATCCAGCCCAACAGAAGCAGGGCCCCGAGGAACTTGTGGAAGGTAGCCCCAAGTCCCATGGGCAGTACTTACAGGGCATCTAGGGACGATAACCCTAGGTGCATGCAGCCTGAGTACTGTAGATTAACTTCTAACTCTCGCACCCCTGGAAGACAGCACCACACTCAAAGCATAGTGCTGGAATCACTGGAGCCAGAGCACATGACCTCTGCCTCTAGCATCAGCCTTAGAACTTATGGATGGATAGCCAGCACAGGGGTCTGGGGCTCCCCCTTCCCACTCCCGGGGAGGGGGAAGCTGCGCAGAAAGTGGCGCAGCGACGTGTGACGTCATGCTCGTTTGCTCTTTCCTTTTAGGAAAGTTCTATCCACTTGTTCGGCTTTTGGTAGCAAAAATTTTCACCAGAATAGGGGGGTTTGTTTTGGGATGCTTACCTTTCTGAGTGCCTGACCCAATCGATGGCAGACATAGAATGCTTCCAACCACACGGGGGTTTCTATAGGCCATTGCTCACCATGCCTCTCTGAGGGGGCCAGGTTCTGGCTCGTGGTTCCCGGTAGGCCCACAGAACTCCCTACACATGATTGATGCCAAAGTCGGACATTAGCATATCAGCCTAGTAAGCTCCGGGGAGCCGAAGGGGCTCCCCACAGAAATGACTAAGGGGGAGTATTATGCGATTTGGAAATGTTGTTTAATGTCAACCAAACTTTTTTACTAGTTGTATATAAGAAGGGTAGCAACTTTTCTACGTTTCAGTATCGCACCCTAAATAGAAAGGGATGTATGTTTTTTTTTCCAATGAATTTTACACATTTTCAATAATTATCTACAACCACAAGTTTCAAATGACATCATTTCTATGACACTCATATATCATATTAGCATACAATAAAGGATTATCCAAAATATGCTTAGTTTTACTAATACAAGTAGTCAAAGTTCCGACAAAAATACATGCCAATATTTCATGTTCGCAAATATTTATAAAATCAATAAATGAAGTTAGGAATTAAGTGTTTTATGAACGTTGTAGAGACGTCATCTCTACATATAATGTGTAAATTTCATGTAAATTGACAAAAAAAAAAATGAAAGAGGAGATGTAATTTTATGTTACTTGAAAACAAGTAAGAACTAACACTCTGCCACCTGTGGTTGAAGTTGACTTTAACCAATGTCCTCCAAAATTTGCATCTTTACAGATAGGCATATGTTCTGTAAGGTGTACAAGTTTCATGCAAATCGGCTGATAAAAAATATGGAAAAAAAAAAAAAAAATTTAATTTTCTATTGTTTGGAATTTTTTGGGGGGCATAAAAGTAAATATTAAAATACTTAATTATATGCTATTGTGATAGCTTAGAGTCATAGACATGATTTCACTTGACACTTGTGTTTGATGTTAATTTTTGACCATTTTGGAATATTTTTGACACATAATTCAATATTTTTTTTCTCCCTTCCTATTTATGCTACAATGCTGAGACTTGGGCAAGTTGAACCCAATTTCATATACAACTAGTCAAAAAAGTTTGATTGAAATCGAACCAGTTTTCATTCTATGCATATTTTCGTACAAACAAAATTCATGGTTTGTACCAAAATATAAACATTGATAAATCTCACCTTGGCTGGCAAATATAGAGAGCTTCTGAGGTTAGTATTAGGCACCCATGAGGCCAGGTATGAGACGGCAATTCTACCTCCTCCTCCTCATCCTCCTCGCCCCTTGCTTTCCCTGTGATGGAAGATTGCCCGGAGCATGGAGGACTAGAGTTCATCTCCAGCGACACTAAAGGAGGACTTGGGCACATATAGAGAATTTCCTCCTCTTCTGGTAATTCTATTTCTTGTATAACTGGGTTAATTTTGCAATCCTGAGAAAAAATATAAAAGCGCTTTACACAAAATAGTTTATTTTAACATTTTATTGTACATCTTTCATTATTTTAAACTCTAATGTGAGAATATATTAAATATAAAAAATATAAATATTTGTAAAGACAAAATTTGAATTAAAATGCATTTTAATTTATTTATTTATATATACAAGAGTTCTTACATTCTTGTACAGCCACTAGCACTCGTAGCGTTTCGGGCAAGTCCTTAATCCTATGTTCCCTGGAATATGACCCCTGCCAAATAGTTTAACAACCAGGTACAGTACCCATTTTACTGTTGGGTTACACAGTGGCTACTTTTAAGGATTTGCACCCAATAAATCCTCCCCCCACCAGGATACGAACCCAGGACAAAGCGCTCGCAAAAGGCCAGGCAAGCCTCTTACCACTATGCCCCAGGAACTGCATTTCATGTGTTCATTGGGAATTTTAATTTTGTTTTAAACTGTTCCTATAGTATGGTTGGTCTGAGCAAGAGTTAGACATCCATGTATTTTACTGATATAAAGACAATTTAATAATTACCATCACATTAGTCATTAATGAAAATATAACCAGTAATGTCCGTTTCGAAGGCACTGTACAATATGTTCTGATGAATAATTTTCTCCAAATACCTTACCAAAACCACTGGACAAAATGGATTGTAATGGATATGTGGACCTGCAAGCCAGTCCAAACAACAGTTTTTAAGATCAAGTTATCACAAGACAAGCCTGGCCCCAGGACAGGTTCATGAAGAAATTTTTAAATTGCAAGGGGAAGTGCAAAGGCATTACGACTTTATAGCACTTGGAAGGGGTCAGGATAAGGATTTGGGATGGAACGGGGTGGAAGGAATGGTGTACAACCATGAAGAAGGAAAAAAGTTCAGGAATAAGACGACTCCAAACTGATTCCCAGTAAAACTAAAGATATCGGGACACTACCTTGTCCTAGGACGCCTTGTCAGAGACCAGACCGCAGGGAAGTTGATCCCCGAAATCAACACAAAATACAGTAAGGTACCTTAAATTCACTCTTCTAGTCATTCTTTATCAATATTATCATGTAATCTTGAATAATATTCATAAAATTCAACATCTGAATACTTACTATTGTTCCATCTATTTTTGATGAAGAGGAAAAGAATGTGGACACCATTGTGATCCTCCTGCGAGACACTGTGTCAGACAAAAAAATCATCTCATCTTGAAGCACCACTTTGTCAGCATCAGGTATAATTTTGAACACATACAGTGGAGTTGGCTCCAAGTCAGTGCTGTACACCTGTTACAGAGAAGTAGTTATAATACAGCTTTGGTATTACAAATTTGCAAAGTTAAACCCACAACAAAATATGCAAGACTTATGAAAGAAAGGGGTATCTAAAATTTAGAATAGACAATTAAAATGAAAAATTAATTCAATGAAATCTATAGAAGTTATGAATAAAAGCAGAGCAAATCTAATATATATAACTAACTACTGGCCATTTATACTTAATACACAAGAAATGGGAAAAAAATTATATTCTTGCACTGAATATATTCACTAAATGTTCACCAAAAAAACAGCGTTGAATGTAATGAAACGCCATTTTCTGAGTGAGACCCGGAGGCTCCCCGGACCCCCTTCAGAAAGCAGCAGACTCATTCTTCGCCAGAAAAGAAAGAAAAGACTGCAAACGGGCTGATGTGTATATATATATATATAACTAGATGAAGCCACTTGCAGAAAATGCACCACCGCAGACTCTGCAAACAGCAACGGACAAAAAGGGGGACAAAAATCTAAGCCAGGGCACAAGCAGATTCCAAAGAGTGGACGAGCACTGTCTGTCGGCACGTGAGATGAGAAGCAAAGAACAGGGACACCGCCTCCCTCAGAATCGGCGCAAACAACTTCAACAAGGCAGCCAATGCCTGAGCTGCCAAAGCAAACACACCGGACATCGGCCCAGATCCCAGTTCCTGCACATCCTCGCCAAGCCTCTCCGAAGACAACTGCGTTTCTTTTCTCAGTAGAGAAAAGAAACGTAAGACCAAAGCCAAATGCCCATGGGTGCACAGTTCCTCGGCCACCAGGGACACCGAAAGGGAGGGAACCTGCACGTGAAACTGAATCTAACCGACATCACGAGGAAGTATGGGGGCAAACAAGCACTCAGATAGGTACTCAAATTCGCCCCTAGGTAAACCTGAACAACCATAGTTACTTCCCGCCATTCAAGCGCACGGGTCCGACAGAACGAATGCCATGCCCCCAATAAAAAGAAAGGGCAGTCTGCCAACCAGGACGACTCCAGAACCTCGTAACGCATCCAGAAAGAAAACGAGGAGCCAAACTCGAAAGATGGAGGATCCATTACCGAGGCGAAATCCGGGTCTCGCAAGACTGAAGCCCCGTCACCTTTGATGTGATGCGGAAACCCGAAAACCTCCGGAAGGAGGGAACCGAGAAACCCAAGGGAACCCGAAACCGAACTGGGGAGGAGTTGCATCCATATCAAACTTGTACAAGGAGGGGGAATAGGAAAAACCCCTCCCCCTGTAACAACAAGCCCGACGCCGAGGGTACCAACACCCAAGCACCCCAAGTCAACTCCTCCCCAGCCCCGGGAGCCTCCATGTCAGGACCCGGGGCCGTGTAGTCCTCCAAACCCTCTACCTCTGGAGAAAAGGCAGAATCCGCCGAAAAAGCCGGGATGAAGGGGGCCCGCTGGCACAGCCCAAGGGCTTCAGGAGGAGGAACAGACTCGAATGCCTCCACTGCCAATCCGGAAGAGGCATTCCCAGAAGCCGCCAGAGACTCACCACCAGGCAAACCCTGCCCCGACTCTGAAACCCTCAGACGTTTGGGAGCCGGGAGCAGGCAGGGGGAGTAGGATGAACCACAGCAAGGGAAGGACTAGGGGGTGAAGATGAAAAAGTCGAGGCAACTAACACCCCCAAGTCCGGGTCCCTATAACCAAAACGGGGCAGCTGCAGGGCATCCGGAAAGGCAACCAGCCTTGCGCGTTGCAGCAACCTAAAAACCTTGCAGGCAATGCCGAAGCTACTTGCACCCAAATATCAATCTCATTGGGCTGGGGGAATTGGAGTACAAACAAGGAACACCACTCGCCGGACTCTGGGTCAAAGGTGTCATTGACCCAACAAGCAACATGGCGGAGGCAAAGATGGTAAGTGTCACCCTAAGTCAAGGGGACAGAGCAACCTTCAAACTCACACAAGGCGAGGTGGGACTCTGAAGTCTCTCCCATCGGAGAGACCTGAGCCCCCAAGGGAGGGTTCCAAGGCCCTAGGCTGACTGCTAAGGGAAGCCCAAGCGAGGTACTGCTAACCGGTTATCCCAGAGCTACCAAGTAAACAAACTATGAGCGGAACCCCTGCGACGTGTACAAGCACAGGGACCTAGTGGAGGGCCACCAAAATTCTACAAGTGGTCCTACTGCCACACCAGGCAAAACAAAACAAAAATAAAAGAAAACCCCGCAAAAGCACATCTCTAGGGGGAACAGAATCGGCCACTATGCATACATCAGACAGCTGCACCTTGCGCCCCTGCCAGCGACGGAACTACCTCCTACCAAAGGGAAAACAGGAGCAAGAACCACCCCAGCTGAACCCCCGGTGGCAATCACCGAGTAGCAACAGAACCACACGGAGGTAGTTCCTGAACGGCGCAGGGAAGATAACCCTGAAGCCGCAAGGGAAGTACGTACAGGGCACTTAGGAAAGGCGGCCCTAGGTGCATGCAGCCCCAGTATTTTTGTGTTACTCCCAGCTCGCACAATACCAAAACTAACCTCCACCACCGCACTGCAGCATTGCTTAAAGGATGGAGCCAGAGTTGATCAACTGTTCACCCTCACATCAACCTGTGAACTGAGGAGAGTTGCTGGTGTGGAGGTCTGGGACCCCCCTCGTCCCTCTCCCAGGGAGGGGGGGGGAGGGGTTGTGCGGACAGAAGAGCGGCGTTTGTGGTGACGTCATACTTGTTTCCTTGGTTTTGATTGGGGAGTTCTGATGCTTGTTCGGCTTTCAGTTTGCAATTTTTTTTTTATCAGCAGTACTGTAGTTTGTTTTGGAATTCCTACCTTTCTGGGTGCCTGACCTGGTAGATAGCAGGCAAAGACTGCTTCCAATTACATGGGGGTGTCTTTAGGCCATTGCTCCTTGTGCCTCTCTTGAGGGGACCAGGTTCTGACTCTGGTCCCTGGTAGGCCTAGAACTCCTTCGATTAACTGTTGCCATGGTCTAATATATACACATAAACCCGGTATAGCTCCGGGGAGTTGAAGGGGCTCTCCACAGAAAACAGATATAGTGGTACCTCGGATTACGAGCGTTCCTGGTTACGAGTTTTTCGGGTTACGAGCAGGATTTGCTCAGAAAATTTACATTGGGATACGAGCATTGCCTCAGGATACGAGGGTGTCGATACGCGTACGGGCCGACTTAGTGCGTGGTGGCACGGCGAGCGTCCCTCAGTTTACTAGTGCCTTGCACCCAGTGACTATCCTGCCTGAATTCTTCACCAGGATTTACAGTGTATGTTGGATATTTGGCCATTTGAACATAAAAGTTGTTGTTATATATCTCGCAATGGGTCCCAAGAAAGCCAGTGGTAAGGTTCAAGGCTTCGGAATTCCTACCTTTCTGAGTGCCTGAAAGTGAAGGGCTGGGCTGGGTGAAGAAATCGGATGTGAGGATGACAATAGAGGAAAAACAAGAGATCATTCGGAAGCATTAAAATGGTGCACGTGTTGTTAAACTTTGTAGGCAGTACAACAAATCAACATCAACGATATGCACTATACTTGCCAAGAAAAAGGACATTACGAGTGCTAAAGTGGCAAAAGGCGTATCAACAATCACAAAACAAAGACCACAAATACACGAGGAAGTGGAAAAGTTGTTATTACTGTAATTTGGATACACGACAAGGAGTTAAAGGGTGATAGTGTTTCAGAAGCCATCATTTGTGAGAAAGCCAGGGTATTGCTGCCTACCAAGCCCCCCCCCCCCACCTCACAGCAGCAATGGGCCGGACAGGGAGGAGGGAAGAGAGGCAGAAAGAAATTTTTAAAAAGGGATGTGGACAAATGTAAAACAGAACCAGGCCTATTCTATAAATTCATAAACAACAAATTGCAGGTAAAGGATAATATTCAGAGGTTGAAAATGGGAAACAGATTCACGGAAAATGAAAAGGAAATGTGTGAAACATTAAACGAAAAGTTCCAAAGTGTGTTTGTACAAAATAAAATCTTCAGGAAAACAGACACTAAGAATTCTAGTGAACAACATAGAGCACACAGAGGTGTCTAGAAACAAAGTGGAAAAAATGCTCAAGGAGTTAAGTAAGAACAAAGCAGTTGGTCCAGATGACGTTTCACCATGGGTTCTGAGAGAATGTGTACCCGAGCTCAGCATTCCGCTTCAACTGATTTTTCAGGCATCCCTGTGTACAGGCATAGTAGATGTGCAGAAAAAGGCTAACATAGTTCCAATCTACAAAAGTGATTGCAGGGAAGACCCCCTCAATTATAGATCTGTATCACTGACAAGTGTTAGTCAAAATATTGGAAAAAATAATTAAAACTAAATGGGTAGAACACCTGGAGAAAAACGATATAATATCAGACAGTATGGTTTTTGATCTGGAAGATCCTGTGTAACAAATTTACTCAATTTCTATGATCGAGCCACAGAGATTTTACAGGAAAGAGATGGTTGGGTTGACTGCATCTATCTGTACCTAAAAAAAAAAGAAGCTTTTGACAGAGTTCCTCATAAGAGGTTGTTCTGGAAACTGGAACATATTGGAGGGGTGACAGGGAAGCTTCTAACATGAATGAAAAATTTTGTAACTGATAGAAAAAAAGAGGGCAGTAATCAGAGGCAATGTAACAGATTGGAAAAATGTCAAGTGGAGTACCACAGGGTTCAGTTCTTGCACCAGTAATGTTCATTGTCTACATAAATGATCTGTCAGATGGAATACAAAATTATATGAACATGTTTGCTGATAATGCTAAGATAATAGGGAAGATAATAAACTTAGATGATTGCCATACCCTTCAAGAAGACCTGGACAAAATAAGTATATGGAGTACCACTTGGCAAATGGAATTTAATGTGAATAAATGCCATGTTATGGAATGTGGAATAGGGAAACAGACCCCACACAACAAATTATGTGAGAAATTTTTAAAGAATTCTGATAAAGAAAGAGATCTAGGGGTGGTGCTAGACAGAAAACCATGACCTGAGGACCATACTGTATTAAGAACGTTGAGCGAGGAGTCTACGCTACACTTTCTAACTTCAGGACTGCTTTTAAAGACATGGATGGAGAAATACTAAAGAAATTGTTCATTACTTTTGTTAGACCAAAGCTGGAATATGAAGCAGTTATATGGTGCCCATATCTTAAGAAGCACATCAGCAAACTAGAAAAGGTGCAAACACATGACACAAAGTGGCTCCCAGAACTGAAGGAAGAGCTACGAGGAGAGGTTAGAGGCATTAAATATGCAAAAACTAGAAGATAGAAGAAAAAGAGGCGATATGATCACCACGTACAAAATAATAACAGGAATCGATAAAATTGATAGGGAAGAATTCCCGAGACCTAGAACTTCAAGAACAAGAGATCACAGATTTAAACTAATGAAACAAAGCTGCCGGAGAAATATAAGAAAATTCACTTTTGTAAACAGAGTAGAAGACAGTTCGAACAAGTTAGGCGAGTAGGTGGAGGAGGCCAAAACCGTCAGTAATTTCAAAGCATTATATGACAAAGAGTGCTGGAAAGACAGGACACGAGCGTAGCTCTCATCCTGTAACTACACTCAGGTAATTACACTCAACTACCATTATGATGGCATTATCCTTACCAAAACCGGGACCCCAACCTCAAGCCCAATCATATTTTGACAGGAACAATTATAACTGTATTATAGGCAAATCAGATATTGAAGGAGAAATGGTAACATTCAAATGTATCGCTCAGGAAGTACCCTTACATATTTATTCAAACCCTGATTTTTGAGATACTATATTCCATAAGCTCAGGTTGTCTGTAAGGAAAGACTGATGCAGACACAGCTACTGAAATTACAAGTAACATGACTTTGTGAAAAAATAAACCTGTTTGTGCTACAGTGCACTATCAAAGCTGAACAGGCAGGAAGTAGATAAAGACTATCCCAAGAGCTGCTGCATGGCAACCTAGTCTAACACGAATTGATCTGTTTATCTAGTGCTATACATTGACATTGTAGTTAGATAGAATCCTGCAATATAATCAAGCAACCCGTTCTCGCAAATTCGTAAAGTCAATATTGACTTATTAACTACGTGCATAGGTGATATACTAAACATAATAGATACCCTTAAAAAGATTCATAGAAAACACCGACCTTACCTAACCTTGTTAGTATCTTAAGATAAGCATCTTATTGCTTCGTAATTACAATTATTACTTAACCTATACCTATTATAGGTTAGGTAATAATTGTAATTACGAAGCAATAAGATACTTATCTTAACATACTAAGTAGGTTAGGTAAGGTCGGTGTTTTCTATGAATCTTTTTAAGGGTATCTATTATGTTAAGTATGTCACCTATGCACATATTTAATAAGTCAATATTGACTTATTAAATTTGCGAGAACAGGTTGCATCAAGTGGCAAAAGTGCAAACGGAACACCAGAAGTCCCAAGCAAGGATGTCAGAATGCTTTTCAAGAGGTATCGTTACAAAATACTGCTCTAGAAGATACACATGCATGTAGGACTAACTCAACCTCCCCCCCACTCCCTTTCTTCCCCTCCACCCATCTCCCTCTCTCTCTCCCCCTCTCTCTTCTTCCCTCCCCCCCTCCCCCTCCCTCCCTCCCTCGCTCTCTCCCCCCCCTCCCTCTCTCTCCCCCTATCCCCCTCCCTCTCTCTCTCTCCCCCCCTCCCCCTCCCTCCCTCTCTCTCCTTCCTTCCCTCCCTCCCTCTCCTTCCCTCCCTCTTTCTCCCTCTCCCCCCCCCCCCCCCTCTCTCCCTCTTTCTCCTCCCCTCTCTCTCTCTCTTCTCTCTCTCCTCTCTCTCTCTCTCTCTCTCTCTCTCTCTCCCCCCCTCCCCCCTCCCCCTCCTCTCCTCTCTCTCTCTCTCTCTCTCTCTCCCTCCCTCCCTCTCTCTCTCCTCTCTCTCCTCTCTCCTCCCTCCTCTCTCTCTCTCTCTCTCTCTCTCTCCCTCCTCTCTCTCTCTCTCTCTCTCTCCTCTCTCTCTCTCTCTCTCTCCTCTCCCTCTCTCCCCCCTCTCTCTCTCTCTCTCTCCTCTCTCTCCTCCCTCTCTCCTCTCTCTCCTCCTCTCTCTCTCTCTCTCCCTCTCCTCTCCTCTCCCTCCCTCTCCTCTCCCTCCCTCTCCTCTCTCCCTCCTCTCTCTCCCTCCCTCCCTCTCTCCCCCCTCTCCTCTCCCCTCCCTCCCTCTCCTCCCTCTCTCTCCCCTCCCTCCCTCCCTCTCTCTCTCTCTCTCTCTCTCTCCCTCCCTCCCCCTCTCCCTCCCTCCCTCCCTCTCTCTCCTCCCCCTCCCTCTCTCTCCCCCTCCCCCCTCTCCCCCCCCCCTCTGAGAATTTAAGAGAAAAAAAGATAAATTGGATAAGGAACAATACTACCCATTCCCCCTTAAAGATTATATATTCTCCCAAGAAACTCCACATGCAAAGATCGGCAGAGAGCTTGGAAATCATTTAACACCAAGCCATATATACCACAAAAAATACAATGCAGTTAGATCCAACTGAGAAAAGTCAAATACTGTATGCAACAAATCCATGTGAAAGTGGTCTCGTTCACCTCCCATATCATCCAGAGAGGAAAAAGCTGGGAGAGATCACAAATATATTCAACACTCCTTGAATGTGAACCACTCTGCTTACTAAAACCTGAAGTCAGAAGAGAAGCTGAAGCCAACATTCAATGCGACAGCAGGAGGGTCTTGGCAGACCCCTAGCTAAAGCAAAATGAACAGACATTTACCAGAAAGCCGAAAATGCAAGGCACGGCCAATGCATAATCACTAGCAAATAGGCAAAGCAGATTACCAAGAGCTAAGATGAGCCTGTTATCAAAGTAGAAAAAGTTATTACACCTTCTGACATGAAGCTTCAAAAGAATCACACCTAGTGAACTCTGATAAATACCCTGGGAGTAAGATTCAACCAGAGCGAGAGTTCAAATAGGGCAAAAAAGGCAACCCATCCAGTACAGCAGCAAAGCTTTATAGTATTGAATGAGTGCTCGTGAACAATGACAGTACAATACTGATTTGTACTCATGATTAAACTAATTTCTAATATATATAGTATCACAAAAACACCAACCATTAAAGTAGAATTGGGTTTACAGTGACCAGCCAGTAAGTATCGTTCTTTGGCATACTGTGGAGTGGCTAGAACATCATGGATGTACTTGCTCAGCCTCTCAGGTCGTGTAGCTACAGGGGGAGCAGTTTCACCTTCTCCTCCCGAAGCAATGGAAGTAGTGGAAGTGGTCATTGCCTGCTCTGGTGTTGTCGTTGCTGACAATTCATCAATGTCACATGTGTCTACTCCTAAAATAAATTATTCTGTTATTTAATTTTTAAATAATGTTAAATTATATATAAAATGTGATTATTTGACATAATTTCATCCTGTGCTCTTGTAATCTGATTCATTCCTCACCTGTAAGGGGTAAATAAACAGCATAAAACATCACGAAACATAGGGCTCAACACCTAGCAAGATACATTTTGTTTGAAGTTTAGTCTCGAGTAATTCACTAGTTTCCCAACTAATTTCCTTATTCAAAGTTTCAGTTTTTAGGTATCTATAAAAAATATAGCTATTCTAAATACTGTACCACTTGGTTTATAATCAAATATGACCCTTTCAATGATTATAATATATATTTTAACTAATATCCCCTTTATTATAAACAAATCAATAACTCATAAGTGCCCTCTACTGAATATAGCTACATCAGTGAGACCTAATGTTACAGTACATGTATTTCTTTCTATTACTGCTAATGTTTTAGTAGACCGACAGTTAAATGTATTGCATCCTTTCCACAACAGTGAATACATCTTGTGAATAGCACTCTTAAACATAATTAAATATGATTTTTTTTCAATCTGCCAAAAATAAGTAGTTCTTAATACAGTATCAGCACCCAATAGTGGTGAGCAGTAAATAAAGATGGTGTACAGTTTCTACTGAACACCACCTTTATTATTCAAATAATCAAGACTTATCAAAACAAATATAGAATCATACCCAAATTCAGTTGTAAACATTAGTACCTTTGCGAGCATATTTATAATACCTGTACATTGTAAGAATGTAAATACCCAATTAAGAGTTCCAGAACTTTTTTGTTTTTTGTTTTGCCAGAAAACATGCACTGCGTTTAAAAATGACCAGCAACCAGTTCTTAAATTACATTTATCTTGATCCTTTAAGTGATCCTAATATATACCATATTAACCCTTAAGCTGCTCTGGGATATTTGGCCTTTGTCATCTACTAGCGCATAAAAAAAAAATATCTTATAAACCTGTTAACTTGTGTTCCCTGATCACGAGAAAAAAATAATAAAAAAAATCGTAAGTGGCATATTTTGGCCGCAATAGGGCGGGGAAGTCTAGCAAAAAACCAGCGTTGAATGTAATGAAACGCCATTTTCTGGGTGTGACCCGGAGGCTTCCCGGAGCTATACAGGCTGATATGCTAATGCCAGACTTTGGCATCAGTCATGTGTATGGAGTTCTGTGGGCCTACAGGGGACCACGAGCCAGAACCTGGCCCCCTCAGAGAGGCAAGGGGAGCAAAGGCCTATAGAAATCCCTGTGTGGTTGGTAGCATTCTATGTCTGCCATCGACCGGATCGGGCACCCAGAAAGGTAAGCGTCCCAAAACAAACCCCTATTCTGGTTAAAATTACTACCTAACGCCGAACTATTGGATAGAACTCCCCAAAAAGATACGAGCAAACTAGCATGACATCACACGTCACCGCACCACTATCTGCGTAGCTCGCCCCTCCCCGGGAGAGGGAAGGGGAAGCCCCAGAACCCCACGCCGGCAATCCACACCCCAGTTCTGAGGCTGGATTTCAAGAAAATGCAAAAACCGCTGCCCGTAGGGAGGGAGGGAGGGATGCCAGGGAGACTCCGGGCACAACCAAAAAATGGAATGTGTGACTGGATGGGCATAGTCAGGAGCCGCCTCGTATGGGCCAAGAGGCCTCCTGCAGTCACCTGTGTTCTGACGTTCGAATCGGGAGGTAAGGAACAAGAGCTGCCACGTATTGGCCAATAGGCCCGCTGCAGGCATCCCTGTTTGTACATTCCATGTTCTCACGTACGTCTGTACTCCCATTCGTACCCACAAAATGAACCAGTGCCTGGACGAAGGAGATTCCAGACCGCATAAACTCGCCTGCAGAACATAGGCATGGAAGGGTCACGACAATGTTACTAGATCGGTGCTGCCGGAGGCAGGAACCCTTCCCAGCCCAGGGAACACACACAGCAGGCCCTGGGGCCGAGCCCTCCTCCCAAAGCCCCAGCCTCAAGAAAAAACCAGGGCAGCTGTGAAAAGCACAAAGGAAGGGAGCCCACTGGCAGACTCTTACAACACTGCTGGAGGAACAGGCTCGAATGCCCCCGTCGCTACCCTGGAAAGGGAATTCCCCAAGACCAATTGAGTCTCAAAACCATGGAAACCCCACCACGACCCCGAACTCACAGATGGGAAGGACCCGGATGCAGGGAGGAAGAGGGTGGGGGGGAGGGACCCGACAAGACCACCCCCAAAACGGGGCAGCCTCAGGGCTTCCGAGGAGCAAACAACCTAGCGTGTTGCCACTGACACCCAAAGTGCAATGCCCGTGCTGCCTGCACCCACATAGTCAGCATAAGACTGGGAACCAAGTCACAAACAAGCAACAAAACTCGCAGGACTCAAGGTCGAAGGTGTCACCGACCTCACAGGCAGCAGATGGAGGCAAAACCGAGAGAGTCACCCTGAGACAAGGGGACAAAGCAACCCTCGAACTCGCACAAAGCGAGGGGGGGGACTCCGGGGCCACATCCATCAGGCCCACGCTCCCTAGGGGTTTCCCAGGGTCCCGAGCGTTTACTATAAAAGGACTCGCACTCAGGTAATCCCAGGCAGGGTACTGCTAACCGGTGCCCATGTCTACCAAACAACTTTCTAAGAACTGAACCCCCGGGACATGTACACTTACAGGGACCTAGCAGGGAATCCACCGGAAGAAGGGAGAGAACTCGGTACAAAAGGGGGAAAGAACCAAAGGCAGACCCCCCACCAGGTAGACAAACAAAAAGAAAAAGAAAACCCCGCAAGAGTACAGCGTAACAGAGCTGGCCTGGGTACGGCTGTACCCAGGCCTTCACCTTTTCCAGAGATTGGTGAAAACAAGCTGCGCAGTACCCTGCGCCCCTACCAGTGCAAACTGCCCCTTATCCTATCTTGAGATGATTTCGGGGTTTTTTAGTGTCCCCGCGGCCCGGAAGGGGTGGGAAGGGGTTTTAGTGTCCCCGCGGCCCTAAGGCGAACAATGGAGACAGAACCCCCCCTATCACACAAAGGGTGGCCGAAAACCAAACAGTAAACGGCCTAGCAGAAGCAGGATCCAAGGAACTTGTGGAAGGTAACCAAGCCCCAAGGGCAGTACTTACAGGGCACCTCGGGAAGGGAACCCTAGGCGCATGCAGCCCGAGTACTGGAGATTCATTCCCAGCTCACACACCACCTAGAAGACAGACACCACACTCTAGGTACAGTACTGAAACAACCACTGGAGCCGGAGCACACAACCGGTGCCTTTAGCATCAGCCGAAGAACTGGGGTGTGGATTGCCGGCGTGGGGGTCTGTGGCTCCCCCTTCCCCCTCCCAGGGAGGGGGAGCTGCGCAGAAAGCGACGCGGTGACGCCATGCTAGTTTGCTCGTATCTTTTTGGGGGATTCTATCCCCTAGTTCGGCGTTAGGTAGCAATTTTAACCCGAACAGGGGTTTGTTTTGGGACGCTTACCTTTCTGGGTGCCCAATTCAGTCGATGGTTGACACAGAATGCTTCTAACCACACCGGGTTTTTTTATAGATCTTTGCTCCCCTTGCCTCTCTGAGGGGGCTAGGTTCTGGCTCGTGGTCTCTGTTAGGCCCACAGAACTCCATACACATGACTGATGCCAAAGTCTGACATTAGCATATCAGCCTGTAATGCTCCGGGGAGCCGACGGGGCTACCCCCCCAAGATAAAGAGGAGCTGACTCAGCAAGTGTCAGGGAAGTTCTGCTCCGCCACAGCTGTCAGGCGGGAGTTGCCACAAAGATATAATTACCTAATTATTTCAATGTCTCCGATTGATTTTTTCTTCATTTTTTTGCTGTACAGTGGTACCTCGAATAATGAATTTAATCCATTCCAGCGCTGTCATCGTCATGTGAAATGGACGTCATACAAAATGAATGTCCCCATTGACATCAATGGTAATCAAATTAATCTGTTCTACCACAGAAAAACATCAATATGATATTCGATGTTTTAAATTATGGAGCAGCCCACCTTACATACACTTCACAAACCTTTATGACATTTTTCTTTCTTTAAATTTGTTCAATATTTATTTTTCATTTGTCTTATAGCAAAAGGTTTGTTCGGTAGTCGGCAGGTAGGCTGCTCCACCTTTCTTACATAAAAAAAAAAATAAAAAAAAAATATTTTGAAAACCAGAATAAATGTCAAAAAGTTTGTTTGGTTGTCTACAGGTAGGCTGCTCCATGTTTCTTAAATAAAAAAAAAATGAAAATTAAAAAAAAAAGTTGAAACAATTTGGAAAATGGACAAATGCCATAAAGGTTCATTCAGTGTTTGACGGGTAGGCAGCTCCATTATAACAATCTTTTTTTTTTGTTTCAAATGTATTCCATGTTTTGTATTTTTCATTTACGTCTCAATAATGGAGCAGCCTACCCGACTAACAATGAACGAACCTTTATGGCATTTGTCCATTTTCCAAATTGTTTCAATTTTTTTTTATTTTTCGTTTATTTTTTATTTAACCACTTAACTGCGCCAGCCGAGTATTCTCGGTCGGCGAGAAACTGCGCCAACTGAGAAAACTCTGATTTTTCTGTACCCATTTTAAATGTGTGCGAGATTGGTTGTGTACGAAATGGACTCTTAGGACCTCCAGTGAGAGGCAGCCATCTTGGAAAAAATTCCCAGAATGCCCTAGGGCTGCTGGCTGGGTTAGTTAGTACTGAAGGAGCAACCATGGGTGGCGCACGCATCTCTGGCTCCCAAACACCTGTCCGACGCGGTGTTGAAAGATAACGCTGTGTCGGTGAAATTCAAACCTTATTGTTTGAAGAACGTAAGGGTCATAATATTGGTGAAGCTAGGTACAATAAGGACCTAACACAAAGATCGAATGCAAGTGATACAGCACCCATGAGGACGATTCAGTGAGCGTATCCAGTTGTAGCTCTGAGCGTCACCCTTGCAATCCTATGCTATCTCCAATTTATTTTGATGATACAT